AGATTTTCTCCTTTCGCGGGGGGATGCGTAATCGTGTAATTGCGCGTTGCCGGGAAAAGGAAAAATCGGAACGAGAGCGGCGGCCATTAATCGGCGCGCCTCGCCTGTGCAGGCGGCGCGCGTCGAACTCTCCGGGAATTGAGATCTATCCAAGGGTGAGACAAATCGCGCGGATCGCGCCTTGAGAAAAGACGCGCAGCCTTGATTCATGGCCGCGGCTTTGCGTATAAACCATGGCGTTTAAAATCACATAATTCGTGGGATTCTTTGTGGGGGAGACCCCATGCGGAGGATCACCCATGGCGAGGCCGGTGTGGGATTTCTCACGCGAGCTCCGGACGCTTTGATCTCGGCGTTGCGTATATCGCGCCTCATTTTCGTTTTTCGCTTTCCCCGGTTTCTTCCGAAATTCTCCTATAGTCTATTCGAAGATTTTAATTCATCCATTTTAAGGCCGGTGTGGGATCTCTTACGCTTTGATCTCGGCGTTGCGTATATCGCGACTCCTCTTTGTTTTTCGGTTTCCCCGCGTTTCCGAAATTCTCCAACAGTCTGTCCGAGGATTTTGATACGTATTTACGGGCATAAAGGAGGCCCTGAATAATTTCGGGGCCCTCCCTCCCGTCTCGGAACCCGGATCGAAAACACCGTGGGAGTGAGAGAGTCATGTTACGGGTCGACCGGTGCCTAACCGAGTGCGAACGAGTGCGAATGTGTCCCGGAGGGTCCGACACTCTTCCCACACCGACGAACTTGGTCACGGGGCCACAAAGAAAGTGGTCGAATTTTATTTCGTGTACTATTTGGGTGTACTTTCAAACTCGGCTATGGGGTCGCAATGGAAATTTTTAAAAGCGAGATAATGTTTCTTGTACATTGATCGAGGACACGTAGGTACTCATAAATGTAAGGTGGACGCGTTTCCTCGATCGCGGGTGGTTCCTGTCGTCGATAGTTATTAATTATGGATTTTCAGGGACCCCCCGGGGCAGAGGGCGGGTCTGTCTTTCCGAGTGGAGTCGTCCTCACGTCTCTATCCGCGAATGCATATATTCATGCGGCGCAAGGGGCCATCTTGGAGCCAGCCTCCTCCTCGGTGAGTTCCATAAATAATCTCTAGTTGCCGGGTAACATGTTATTTGCCACCGAGCTCCACAAATGAGTTCACTTTGTATTTAATTATTCGGCTCACGCCCAGGGCGTATCCCGGGGGATCCAGGTTGGCCGCCCTGAAGGACTCTTTCCCGGGGGGGCTCGAAGGCCACTTCGCGAACTCGAGGGCCCCAAATTCGGATTCTTCTAGGATAGGCGGGCATCGTTGCCCTAATTGCTAGTTTCCCTGCATTACCGCTCCCCAACGAGACGTAATGGATGAAACCAATCAATTCTTCGAGCCATCGGAGGCTCCTCGGCTCCGGTCGGTCCCTGGGAGGGAGGAATGTCAGTTGCTTCCTAGGTCCACGAGGAACCCCGCGTTTTTTGGCCCTTTTGTTTTTTTTTTTCATTCACATTTAATAGCTCGTTACAACCTACTAAAAATTGCACCGCCAGATTTTATTTATGGGTAAATTTTAGAGACACCGTGGAACGATTTTTCCTCTAAGGAAAGGCTTGAAAAAAATGGCCTGGGGATATTTTCAGCCCTTTAACGAGGTTCCCTCCCTCTTCACAATCGATATCCTTTAACGGGTTGGCCACAGGTTAACAACGCAAGTTTCTCCACCTTCGGGAAGGGTCGGATTTTTTCCTGCGGATCTCGACAAACTTCCTGCTTCGGGGATGAAACAAACCCGGAGGGTTTAAAACGAATTACAGGGTGTCGCTCGGTAATGGCCGGCGTTTAATATCGCTACCAGAAAACGTCAGGGTCGTCGTTGACGAGACAATGTAGCCGTCCATCATCTCGGTGGGCCAAACCTCGAATATTCGTCGATCGCTACCGACAGACAATCGCTTCTTCAGGTCCATAACGATCCGTTTCGCCGAGTGTTCTCTCGCGTTCCCGGTGCTTATTAAAATAGACGAGGGTCTCGAAAGGGCCGATATAATTCCCTTCGCGAAATGGTACCTTTCCTACCCAGATACACCCGAAACGATTTCCCTCCCATTCGCGAGAACTCGAAACGAGGCGAAACTCACTCCGAAATTGTTCTCGAGGTGGATATTAGATACTTGGGTTTAATAATTATTCGCTGAATTGGCGAAATATCCCTTCGATCCGTGGTAGGTCGAGAAAGTGAGGAAAAGGCACCCGATTAAAATACGAGGATGAGGATCCTTCTCTTCGGGGAATATTCCCAAGAAAATGCTTTCCCTTGCGGGAAGAGGGACCGGAGGGCGGGACGCCCTTTCCCTCGGGAAAGGAGAGTCCTTAAGGGATCGGCTTTGGGCCACGGATTATCGTTCTGCTACTTAGGAGGAGGTTTTTGGGCCGAGTGATCGCGAAATCCAAGCCGGCCCCGTGAGGGGAATGACAGAGATCGGGTTGCACCTCGGGGACCACCGTCGCGCTCACCGCAAACTTTATCCTCCCTGTTTTCGCTAATTGAGCGAGTAAAGATGTAACTGGACCTTACACCCTTGAGGTATTTGCACCCTTTTTGCAGATACTATCTGGTCCTCTTTCGACGGTCCAGGCGCGCGCACCTTCGGGATCCACCGAAAGCTCTGCATCTGCTCGGAAACTCATTTCTAGGGCCTTTCGATAAAATTGTGGGATATACGTTGAGAAATGATATAAAGTCGTTGACAGCTCGGTACCATTCGAAGAAATATTTCTTTCGGTCGAATGCTTGTTCGTTCTCCGCAAGAGATACGAGGGAATTTCTTTTGTCGAGCCGTGCGATAAGTATAAGACATTTTCTGTCGATCATCGGGCTTAAGCTTCCCCGGGAATTTTCCGGGACTCCTAGGGACCCTAGGCGCCTTTTTCGGGAGCGGCTAGAGCCCAGTTTTCGGGCCGAGATGATTTGGCGGTCATTAGCGAAATAGGGTAGACGCGCGTGCCGCCCAGAAATGCTACTAACTTTTCTCCCCTCTGGAGGATCGGCCGGGACGCACAATGGCGGCAATAATGAGCGCCTACGGGCCCTGGCCTCGAGATGCACATTGTATCCAACTATTACCGCACAAAGGCGATGCCGGACATAATGGACTTCAAGGAATCTTTCTGGATCCGGAGTTATCACGTATGGTAATTGGGTGCCCGGCGCCCCGAAGAGCGATAGATAGAAGACCCCGAAGTCGTCTCGCCTCCTGGGCACGGGTCGGCCTAAGTAGAGCATCCCCTGATGACCCGAGGGCAAAAGTTGAACGATTTCGATCGTTTGCCTCATTGACTGCACCTCTTTTCTCTACTTAGAGATTAAGGCGGCGGGAAAGTCGCGTGCAAAAAAAATGATTTCCACGGGGGGTTATTCGAGGGGAAATCGGTGGAAACGATTTCCTTTGATTTATTATGATAAACAGCAATGCGTAATGTAACAGGTGACGCTCGGCCTTGAAATCGTGACAACGTTCTCCACGTGACTTCGAGCACTAAAATCCATGATCTTCTAAGTGAATAATTCCTCGATCGATTCCGTTGATTAATTTCAAGGTAAACGGGGGTTGGTGGGCCCAGGACGAACCGTGAGCATTTGTCATAATAATGATCGGCAGGATTCCACGGGAGGGGAGGACCTTTTCCGTTGAAATCCAAACATGCCGAATGCTTCCTGGCAACCCTTGCTATTCCTGCGACGAGAGTTCGCCCTCTCGTCCTCCTTCGTGAGTGTTAGCTTTTCCCCTATCTCTCTTTCCGAGATGCGTCCACGAATTCGTCCTGGAACTGCAAGATAAGAATGAAAATAATTCACCCGAGGATCAATATTTTCCTGGACAAGGGATGCGTCCTCGGTGAAAGACTCGTAACGAGTCCACTCGAATAAAATCGTCTTGGAATCTAAGACACTAGATGATGCGTCTTTATCCCTGATTCTGATATAAGACGTCGAAGCATCACATATTCTACTATTATTTATATATCATCGTGATAAGACATTTATTAAATATTTTACATCCCGGTCGTAAGTCCAATACGGCAAAATTTAAACGAGCGAAATTTGGAACTGGTTCATATATTTACATTGCACGAGTACGTACGAAATTGGGAAATTATCAACAATCCAATTATTCTATAAATACGTCGCCTTTGTATCGCCATAAATCGTAAGAAGTTACACTTTTAAGTGAAGATCGAGTATAATTTCCCAGGAAATCCCGTCAATCATCTAACTTAATTATTATATAATAATTTCGTCAATCCCCTGACTTAGCGTATATCCAACTCCACATCCCCATAAATGGTATAAGGTTACAAGCACTCAACAGTGTATCTCAAGTTTCCTGGGCAGGTGTGACGAATTCTGCGCGTAGACCTACTCCGTACGGCGAGCTCGGAGACGTTTCTCGAGTCGCGAGAGGGTGTAGGAGGTCGCGAGAGGGTGTAGGAGGTCGCAAGAGGGTGGTTCCACCCTGCTCGGCGGGTTCGAGAAGGCACGTATAATGGGCAGTTGGGCATGGGTCAGGCGGCACGTAGAGGCGCCGGGCCACCTGTTGCAGCGCTGGGATGGGCGGCCCGGAGCAGCGCGGAGGGGGGTGGAGGCTCCCCATTGGTGGCGGGGCACGTGCTGCGGAGGGTGCCCTGCTCCCCGAACGCATAAATACCCCCGGCGCGGCCAGCCGGCGTCAGAACCTCTCGGACGTCGAGGGCGAGCGCGCAGCATCCCGAGAGACGTCGAGGCCAGGTCACCTGCGACGGTCGAAAAGTTGATCGGTGGCAAAAGTGGGAGAAGAGAAGATATATATATATATATATTATACATATTGTATGCGATATATATATACTTTATATATATTTCGTATTTGCATAAGATATACATTCGGTGTATAGAAGTTGGGGGGTGGTGGGCGAAGGTCCGGAGGCTGTTCAGGGGAGTGCTCCCTGGGTGGTGCGAGGCATGGAGCTGCAGGAGATGTTCCGCTACGGATACCTGTTCCCGCCGCAGGAGGACGCCGCGCCGACCTACTTGGAGCTGCCGAGCTACCCGTACCTGAAGGAGAAGGGTGGATTGCCCCCGGTGAGCACCCTGGCGGTGCCGCAGTGCGCGGTCTACGACAACAACAGCGACGGCTGGCACACGCCGAGTCCAGCAGCCAGTTTGCGATCCATCAGCCCCGCGACGACCTCGGCGTCCTCGGAGTCGGAGAGCGGCGCCACCCTCGCGACCTCCGGGCAGACCTCCACCTCCGGGTCCCAGCAGCCCGGGAAAAGGTGCAGGACCCTCCTGGTCGCGGCCTCTAGGACCACCTCCGCTCCTACCCTGCCTCAGGTCACGGCCTTGCCGGAGAAGGTGCAGCCGTCTCGAAGAGTCGACGCCTCCATGTCGGATGGGGGAATGGACCCCGAGGAGAGCGACCTCCAGGAGAGCGAGGGCGAGCAGGAGAGCGAGCCCAGGAGGCGCGGAAAGTTCGTCAGCTCCACCGTCGTCCGGAAACGCAGGCTCGCCGCCAACGCCAGGGAGAGGCGCAGGATGCAGAACCTCAACAAGGCGTTTGATAGACTCAGGGCGTATTTGCCGTCCCTTGGGAATGATCGGCAACTTTCTAAGTACGAGACCCTGCAGATGGCTCAGTCCTACATCACTGCGCTGTACGATCTCCTGCAGTGACCGCAGCGACCCCGAAGACGGTGGATATGGGTGGTTGTCGGGACCTAGACTGCCGCCCTGGTCCTCGTTGGAGAACCTTGGATCTGACTTTCACGGTCTTGAGATCTCGCGACCGATGACTTTCGTCGGCTGCACCGGTGCCAGGAAGCATAGGGTCACCGCCATGCCAAGGAGAGGTGCAGGATGCACGACTTACGCGATCTCCTCCAGTGACCCCGAAGACGTTGGACTTGGACGGTCCATCGGGTGGCGGTCGAGGCCTGACCTTCTAACCTGGTCCTGACTGGAGAACTTTGAACCAATTTCCGCGTTCTGCGGATTATGGGAGTGAGATCAAGCCGTGGCTTTGTTCGTCAACAGAGGGTCCAGACCAATGTCACGACGCGAAGAATTCCTCCAGAGTGGGGATCCTGAAAATTGAAAAATGGATATGGATGGTCCACCGTGCTTGGAGTGCGACTTTCGAGGCCTGACTATCCTCTAAGTGACATTTCCTGGCATCGAGGGACGTCTTCGTCGTCGATACTCCATTGGAACCGTTGACGATCTCTAATGATCACCAGGTCCAAGGTGTTCCCCAGGGTTCTCCAGACCTCCATGGCCACACACGGTCGATTGACTTCCACTGTACATAGCGGTAACTCCTAAGGTCTCCACTGTGATACAACAATACACCTGAAATATCGTAACGTTAGCTTAAGCCCTCGTATTGTCTTCTCTATTTTTATATTGGAGCAACTCGGGATGAGAGATTTATGTACATACTCGTGTGCACCTGCGTATATTTTTCTAAGACTTTTTGTACATAGGGACGTCTGTAGATTTTGTACGATACCGTATAAGGAGTGTATTATAGCGGGAGGATTACTTTAAGGCCGTGTGCAAGTATTTATATAGACGAGCGACTTGGCGACCCGCAAGAGACTGACGCGCATTTCTTTTCTGAATGGCATTAATAAAAATACATTCCTTAATTCGTAGACACTCGGACATCGATTTGTATCGTCGTAGAGTCTTTAATCGGTTCCTTTTTCCTCTTCGCATGTGGCGCACGGCGGATTAAGTCCGTTGCGTAATCATTTCCTTGGGGGAATCGACGCAGACCCCGAACCCTTGATGACCACCTTGAAGAGCACTCTTCGTCTTCGGGATCGCTTTCCCCGGAAGGTTTCCCGCGATCGGGCACCGTCGAGGACGAATACCGAGGTAAATTGGAATCCAGTGCCCTCGAATTTTCGGGCCCATAAGTGCCCAACGTCCCGATGGACCAGGAGAGCCGGTCCATCCCCGAAGACCGTCATTAGCGCCGTCAATAACCCCAGGAGTGGGTAACTAGCAACACGATTCCTCGTATAGACTCGATAGTTACCGAAGTGACTTTCTACTTTCGCCAGCCTGGATTTCCGTGGATGTCCGAGAATCGAGTCATCCCTTCGCGCAACCAACGGCCACGATGATTCCTGGCGCGCTCTGGAGAACTTTTCCTCCGGGAAGAGCGGAAACATTTTCAACGGAGTCTTTGATAGAAAGCCGTGATCAACTTTGCAAACGAACGGAAAGGGACTTTTGACCTATGGAGACCGAAAATCGGGTCCCGAGGGGGATAGATGGTGCTCGGAAAGCGTCATCGGTGGTCCGGTTGTCACCCGAAACCCGCGACGCGTCGGTGCCCGGTTTCATCGCAATTTGAGAGCCTATCGCCTGGTTCCCCTGGTCTTCTCGGTGTTTACCAAGACTCGAGCAATATCCGGGGCGAATTTGGCCCGGAAAAGCCTCGAAAAGAACCCTGCAGAGACCTAGAAGAAACGACTTCCCGGGGCGTCATTAAAAAATATGGAAATAAATGCGAGAATTCTCCAAAACGGTATCGCACCTCTCAATATTCTTTAGATCGGTGGTGCAATCGATGGGTGGGTACACTGCACCGCAGGTTCGGGTAAAAAGGTCCTGACAACGTATCAGAGCCTGAAAGCCCTCGAAGAAGATCCTCCGGCCCGGTGACCGGAAACGACTTTTCGGTAGGGAAAAAAATTCGTAAAAAATTCCGGAAAATGATATCGCACCTCCCAATGTTTTATATCGGTGTCGTAATCGATGGGCGGGCACGTTACCCCCCTTCTCGGGCAACGAAACGGTTTCCCAGCGAACGGTGCTACAATTGATGCCCCCTCGGCATCACCGGAAATCTCCGAGGTGGTCGTAAGCGCATCGCGCCGATTACACCTTCGGCGTGCGGTTAAATGCGGTTAACAGGTTTTTCCTTTTCCCATTCCCGATCCGGACGAGGCTCGTGAGGGGTTTTCAGTATTTCACGAGTGCAGGTGGGCAAGTTGTATCATTACTTTGCACCACTTACGCGCCTTGGACGCACCGCCGGGCCCCGGGAACTGCGGAGAGCCTTTATGCCTCCGCGCGGCAGTTTTATGAGCTTTGAAACGTGTCTAATTGAATAAATCGCAAACCCGCGACTTTACGGCCGACTAATTTCTCATGCGCCGAGGAAAACCCGACCCGCGGACGGTGTATTATGACTTTACAGCTACTGTGCTCTCTCTCGCGGGGGTCGTTTAAATTCCGTATCTGCCCGATTTCCCGCCACTCTTCTTCCCACTTTTCGCGATCCATCGGAAGATCGATCCCCCCCTCAAAGACGCACCCCCGAATATTCCTAGAGCGACAGTTAATATTTATTAACCTTCAGCAAGCCTAGAAGGGGATTTCTCGGCGCGTTTGCACATTTATTTGCGAATTCAGGGGCTCTTCTCGGGAATATCGATTACGGCTCGTTCCTTCGTTGGATCGCTTAGTACCCGATCTCAATTAAATATCTAACTGCAGAGAGGATAACGCTTATTTTAAAGGTCCATTCGCCCTAATGAGAATTTTGCGTCTTCCCAGACCTCACGTTTTTTTTTTTCCCCCATCGAGTGGAGCAAAATAATTGTCCCCGAGGTACCCGAAAACGGAGGTCTCTCGAATTTTCCCTCGGTCCCCTCGAAGAGCACTGCATCTCGTTTCTTCATCGGATCGCTTCGAGCTTCTCGTTCGGGGTGATACCGTCTCGGCGTTTAACCCCTTCGTTACCGGCAATCTTTGGCCACTCGGGTCGGCGATCGACGAGCCATAAACCTCTTGGCTTCGATGTTCGTAAAAAAGTGTAACGCGTTCCGGCTCGGCGGAAAGACGAAGAGGACGCGCGGGGGATACGGAAGATAGGAAGATACGCGCGAGGATTCCAAGATGGTAGTATCCGACTTTTTCTTTTTCCCGGCGGGACGAAACTCGCGGCTCCGCGGACTCCCGGATGACTTATTACGCGGAAAGTTATGGGCGCAGAAACGCGTTAAGTGTGCCGGCAGCCACCTAGGCAGCCACCTAGGTAGCCACCTAGGCAGCGACCGCGGCCTCGAGGTGCGTCGTTCTCGCGCGGAATGGGCCGCATTAACTTAGCTTTATGCGCCGTTCCCGGGCCCCTACTGCCCGTTGACTCTGGAGCTTGTCCAACGCTTCACTACACACTCCACTTCCAGGACGAGCCATCGCGGGAGTGAACACCCAGGGAACAACACCGGGAGTCTCCGGCGTCGTTCATAAGTGCCTAATCAGGGCCACACTTTGGCCAACCACCGGAGAGGAGCGCCGGCGCCGCTCCACTTGCATCGTCAAGTGAGGGTCTCGGAGGATACCTCTTCCCGGGCTTCCGGATTTGAGAGAGTCTCCTGAAATGAGGATTTCGGGTGCTTTGCCTGCTTATGATTCGTCCATAAGTGTGTGATCGGGGTTACACTTTGGCCAACCACAGGAGAGGAGCGTGTACATGGTGCAGCCTGGTGGTGACGTAGACGTAATGTAAAGAACGAGCTCGAGAACTTATGTACCTGCGGCGCCTGATGTATAATAAATTGTAAAATAATTAATGTAATAAAGCAACTTATTGAACGATAACAATGAGTACGTTTAATTAGACGAGCGTGTCTAGCAAACCCTCTTATCGCCTATTCCTGATCCTTGAAAACCTCTCGTGCCACCTCCTCGGTTGTCCTGTGATCCTGTTAGAAGTCGGAAATTTCAACCCCTAATTTTTTTTCCCCGGGAAAAATACCGTGCCACCTCCTCGGTTATCCTATGTTCCTGTTAGAAATCGGAAATTTCAAGCCCTAAAATTTTTGCTCGGGAGAAAAACCGTGCCACCTCCTCGGTGGTTCTATGTTCCTGTTACAAATTGCCAGAGGTGGAATAGGATCACAGGACAACCGAGGAGGTGGCACGGTGTTTCTCCCGAGCAAAAATTTTAGGAGTTCAAATTTCCGACTTCTAACAGGATCACAGGACAACCGAGGAGGTGGCACCGAATTTCGTGCCTTAGATCTACGAGAGGTTTTCAAGGATCAGGAATAGGCGATTAGAGGGTTTGCTAGACACGCTCGTCTAATTAAACGTACTCGTTGTTATCGTTCAATAAGTTGCTTTATTACATTAATTATTTTACAATTTATTATACATCAGGCGCCGCAGGTACATAAGTTCTCGAGCTCGTTTTTTACGTTACGATTACGTTACCACCACCAGGCTGCACCATGTACACGAGGAAGCCATTCATGATCGCCAGGGTACATACGCGTCGATCCAATACACATACGTCTTTGGCGGCGAAAGGGTTAAAAAATGGCTAATGAGTGTCAACCAAGGTGCAACCAGGTACGGTAACCGTTTGCTTTCGACGGGCTGGACCGGTGCTCGGAGGGCGTTGGGTATCTCTCATCTCGGAAGGTGCGAAATGCCCGAAGTTCCAGGAGGAGCTCGGAAAAAAAGCTCGGTCGAGGAGGAGATTTGTGGGCGAGGGCGATCCGGGAGTCCCGAAGGGTTCGGATCGACAGATAGGACTGGATGCGTCGCGAGCTTGGAAAAGGGCCGAAAAGGATCGGCCAAGGATTGGCAATCCTTTCCCGGTTTCTGGTAGTCCTGGCCGGCCGATTCATCTCCCTCGGTCGGCCTCTCGCCGATAATTACAGTGCTCTATCCTCCGGATCGGTCCGATCGAATTAACGGCGAAGGTCGATCTCGCGGGATTTATTTATTGCCGTTTCCAGAATCCCGAGGGACTCGCCATCCATCAAAGTCTGGGAAGGCTGCCCTCTTTTTTTTTTCCTTTTCTTTCTCATTTTTCTTTCCCTCGAATTTTTATTACTAAACGTATTCGTCACCGATGTCGAATTATAAGAGGAAACTGTAAGACTGCGTGTAGCTTTAAACGAATATTCAGGGAATAGTTTCATGAACGATGCCACGTTCACATCCCCTTGAGGGATGAACGATTAAGAAATTTGAAAAATTCTTTTCCGTACAGGTTTAGGAAAATTCTTCCGGGTGTTCCGGCAAAGAAGGGACTTCTTTCGCGGCGCGCATTGTTCGAGTGTTCCGGTGGCGGCATTTAGGGGGAAAGAAGGAGATAGAAAGCGAGCAAGGGAGGCCAGGGCGCCGGTCGTAAATTCGGAAGGAAACAATCCGTCCCGAGATAGGTCCTCGGCATCGGGCCTCGGTGCGCAGTCCGCGGCCACAAAGGGCCTCGGTGCAAAAAATGCTAATACAGGGTCGACTGTGTCCACGCCGTCGAGTCCTTTGCTTGCTTTATGGATTGTTTAGAGCAAATTACGCCCCCGGTTAATTTACGGCCGGGCCGAGGCGTAAATCTTGCGCCGAGGCGCTTTAAAACCGTAATAACATCGCACTTGTGATTATCGGGGACGTACCCGGTCCGTTACTCTCTCCGGACCGAGTTCACCTCTGGTGACACCGATTACTATATCCCCGGATCTCCCCCCCGAACGGAAGTTAAAAGGAGCTCCGTACGCTCGTTACGCCTCAATTATATTCCTCGGTAACTCGGGTTGCTTTCATTTACGAAACTCAGGTTGGACTCTAAAAGGGTAAAAAGAAAAAGTTAGCATTACTTATCAAGGGTTGTATCTCGCCCCTGTTATCCCTTGAGATTCTTCCACCGCGCTTTCCGAGGTGGATCGATGGTCGGGCAAACTTCCGGGGAAGAAGTCGAGGTAGAACCGGGGCCATCCGGAGGGAGGGCAAACAGGAGGGTCTTCTGGAACACCTGGAGCCATTTCCTCTGCATCGGAGGGATGCTAATTCGTCGATTTTTCGAGGGCGCGGTAACTCGATGGGCAAACCCTTGGTCTGGGCCCACCCCAGAATTCCTGTATACGTTTCGAAGTCGAGGAAGATGACGACGTGGGGGCGAGGATGAAGAAGACGAGGAGGAAGGCGGTCACAAAATCGCGATCGGGGGGTACAAAGGAGATTCCCCGAACATAAATATAATTCCAGGGGCGATTAATCGTTCGGGTCCCTAGCAGTCCCTAGCGGTCCCTAGCGGTCCCAGCGCGTGTCCGAAGATCTCTCCTCTTCTGCCTTTTCTGCACAAGGAGGACTCGCCGCCTCGGCTTGTCCGATCGGGAGATTGCTTTATTTGAGTCCGGCCGCGCGAATATCTCGGCATCGAGCCGCGGAATGGGCGCAACGTTAAACGTCCAAATAATGTTATCTCAAAGGCGGGATCGGTCGATAAGGGGCATCGGTGGCCCGCCGAAATTTGTCGGCACTCGTTGCACCTGTAAAAGCTTGACCACTGTCCAGCTGGACTCCAGGAGTACCCCCTAACCCTGAAGAGAAGGGTCAGGAGGACGATATCGATACGGATTTTACGTATCGTCTACGTTTGGTCCAATTTCCCCTTTTCACTACCGACGAATTGTTCCTTCCATGACATCCACGCGTTTGGCCGGGGTCGTTACTTTTGATGCTGTAATTTAGAGGGGGTGGGATTAAAAGAGAAATTCTCATTTGAAGAGGAGTGCTACCTCTCGCGAGATATGATAATCGTGTCGGCCATTAGAACCTTGACTTTCACGAGCGGAAGTCGCGCGAAGGTTGCTCTGCTCGTAAAGTCACCTGCCAGGGTGGTCTAGGGGAAACCTAGTTACCTTGGTTTCGATTCATTTTTTAGTTCATGTGGTTACGATATGGGCTCCTCTGTCCACTTTTGACACCGAGGAGAAACTCCGTGAAAGGTACAAACTCCGATTTTAAACCGAGATTAATAACCGGCCGCGGGCTTAACAAATCGAAGATAAAGACTGCTCATCCCGGAAGTCGGGGTTAATCCGAGATTAAAATTGTGGCACCCGCGGTTTAACAAATCCGAGATAAAGAAAAACGCGTAATCTTCCGAGTGCTCATCCCGGAAGCCGGGGTTAAACCGAGATTAAGAAGCGGCACACGCGGCCAGGTAAACCGTAAACCAGGAGAGCCATAAAGCGGGGTCCCTGTTTGATCCGCAGCCTCGCCGGGGTGGTCCATTGACTCCAGAAGCGGAAGTCCATTGATTTCCCCGCAAGGGCGACTCCAAGACTCGTGAAAGGCTCCGAACTGAAACCAGGGTGAAACTAAACATGAGTTGATGCGTGCTGTCGCGAATGTCCCTGGATTACGGACCAGGTAGGCCCTGTTTCGCGTTCCCGATCCCGGGAGACATTATGCTCGACATGGTCGCTCATTGTGCTCCTCTCGGAGGGGTCCCGACTCTCCCGGTTGTCCCCTTTGTGGTCCTGCTATAAGAAGAAAAAAAAATTATACACCGCATTACGTCCTGGAGAACCTCCTAGGAAGAAACCCTATCGACCTGGTAGCGAAGTACCGACAAAACGAAAGTGTCTCTTCGAGGGTGATTCCAGGGCCTTAATTAATCGCTGTCAATTATCCTGATGGCTTCAAGGGTTGCATATGATTTCGGGAAGGGGTCAGGGACGTCGAGAGTCGAATTCGAGGCAGGGGTTCCCGTGGGTTTTGGGGTCCTGGGGGTCCCAGGGGAGACGAATTGACGTGGTTCCCATCGACGTAATGACACGATTCGGCGAGTCGCGGTAATACGCGCGAATGGTCTGTTTGTTTGTTCCCGAATGAAATCCGGCCGAGATGCCGCGATGTGTGCCGCCACCCTTGAGGAGGTCCTCGAAGAGCGGCACGCGTCGCCACTCGAGTCCCCTCGATATATTAATTCTATTTGATCGATCCCAGAGCCCCATTGTGCCGGACCACTTCGATTTAAACTCTTCAGGGTCTGAAGGGGGTAAATAAATCGGCAGCCGAGCTCGGACGTCTCTTTGGCCTCCAGGAAGAGGAGATCCCCTGACACAGGACCTGCTAGTAGGTGGTACTGTTTCGGAACAACTACCCGAATACGACCTCCAGAATGTCTTGTATTCGCCGGTGCTCCGGATTTACAGCTAATACGTAACGCGTAATTAATATGGCGAAGAGCAGAGACGCTCTTCTGGTACAAATTGGTAGCTTGGTTGAGAACTAAAGAGACACTAAAGGTATTTCACGCCGTCTTCGACTAGTCTACGACGTGGGTCGTATTTTCCGCGCTCTTCAGAGTCGACGGTGAAGAGTCCAAAAGTCGCACTTGGGAAGTTAAAGACAGTAGATCTCGTAGGAAAGGGTGAAGACATCCTTGAAGAAATTCTCGCGGGAGTCTTCAAGGCACTCGATGGCTTTTTTAATTTTTTTAAGCCACTCAATGGCTCACTCGATGCTTCCCCAGTCTCTCTTTCTCGTCCTCCTCTTCTCTCTGGAAGGCAGGGGTAGACGGGCAACTCTTCGTGGTCTGATCCCGAATGTCCACCAGAAGACTCTGTCTGCAGAGCATTGAGACGGCACTCATTCTCCCGTCCCTCTCCTTATCCTTGGACCTCTTCAACCTGGACCTTCTGAACCTACTGGCGATCTGGCCGAGCCTGCTGGTCAGTTCTCCAGTCTTCGGGGCCCTCGGCAAGGACTCGTACCCACGGTTTAGGTTCAGCCTCTCAAAAGTATCTTGATCTACGTTGATCATCCCCGCGCTGGCGGACTTGAAGAGGTCCGACCTCGGCGCCTCGTCTTGCTCCTCCAGCTTGGAGGTCCCTTCGGCATCCTCTCTATGCATCTGCGGATCGTGCGAGTAGCACCCAGGACCTCGGGAAAGGAAGTCCTGCTTGGCCCTACGGATCCTCATCGCTCTGGTCCTCGAAGAGGACCGTTCACCCTCTTCTTGGACAGCCTCTTCAGCGTCCAGATGCGACATCGACGACCTAGATGAGACCACGGACCTGGTTCCTCCGTTTCCACGGTTCCCCATGGGGATCGTCGAGGAAGGAACCTCCATCGTTGGGACCCGAGGAAGGATACTCTGGGAGAATCCTTCTGGAGGTTGATCCTCCAGGTGTTTTTTTTCGGTCCCAGCACTCGGGGAACGTCTGGACGTCGCGGAGATGTCCAATGCGTCTTCGACGGGGACGTTTATCCTGGAAGAGAAGAGGCTCGAGGACGACGAGATCGCACCGAAGTTTGCACTGGTGCTCTTCAGGATCTCACGCTTTGCTGGAGTCTCCATCCATCCCGAAGACCCGCCTACGTTGCCGATGATGCCAGCACTGGCGCTCTTGAAGACCTCCTTGTTCCTGGGGTGGCCTTCGATGGCTCTTCGCACTTCTTCTTGGTACCTTTCCGTCCTGGTACGGACTCTTCTCTCGCTGGCTGGTGATCTCCAAATCGGGGACCCACTTCCGCTACTTCCGGGACTTCCGGCATCCTCCAGCTTCTGGTTGTACCTCTGGATCATCATCCGGATACTGGGCGCCGGGGTGGTCTTCGGGGAGGACTTTCGGTATTCCTTCCTGGTAGGGATAAACCGGTACAAGTGAATACGAGTACGACATTCGACTTTTGTTCCATTATCAAGTACTTCTGGTATCCCTACCGTAAATTTTAATAAATACTTTATGTCAATAAAAAATACTCATATCGAATCATACGTGGACATAATGAAGAGGTACTTTTAACCTTAAAATTTCTTTCTCAAGCTACTTGAACATAAAATCGATGACTACTAAGAGTATGTTTTCGTTCATCGCAATTATACATTTTTCCTTACCTGGCAGGTACCGGAGATTGCGGAATGGGCGGCCTCCTGGGGTCCAGGTCCATCTTTCTGATCCCAAGGTCTACCTTCCCGTTCTCGGGGTCCAAGTCCATCTTTTTTCTCCTAGGATCCCCAAGGAACTCGGAGTTCGACCTGCTCCTCTCCTCGCAGGTCCTGGCCCCACTCTGCAGCATCTGCCCCGAAGAAGCCTCCTCCTCGACCTCGTTCCCCTGGGTCTCCGGCGTCCTTCCCTTGCTGTCTCTCCTGAACGGCGAGAAGATCATCCTCTTCGTCTTGACGAAGACGTTCCTCGTCGCCCCGTTCCTCTCCTTCTTCGAGGACGAGTCTTGGAACGTGGAGAATGCATTGGTCCCGCTGGTCCCCGCGTTCGTCCTTGTTTGATCCTGGCTGCTCCTCGTCTCCGTATTCGCCGTTCTCACGACGATCCTGTTCAGGGTGCTCTCGTTTATGACGATCTTCTCCACGCTGGGGTTGTCCGAGAACGCCGACACGGTCAGGGCGTCGTTTCTGCAGGACTCTTGGATGTTGTCCTCGTTTCCCACTTCCTTTGCACACCATTTGTATCCTACTTGGGTGTCCGTCAGGCGTCTGGTCTTCAGGACCCTCTTCTGCCGAATATCTCGGTCCACTGTTATCACTACGTCGTCCTCTTCGGCGCCGATCATAGGACCCAAAGGATCCTCGAAACGCATCCTGGAAATCCCGTCCTTCCCACAGGATGTCGTCCTTCTTGCAATGCCTTTCTCGTTGAAGACTGCCGTCCTCTTCTTGCAATTTTCCGCATTGGTTCCTTTTAAATTACCCTCCGTGCGTGGAACTTTTTCCTTGAATTGTGGGGATTGTCCTGTGCCCGTACCTCGATACTCGCCTGGAAATTAAAGGATTGGTTTACTAATTTTTTTTTTTTCCGCGTTCGGAGATCGTCCTTAATTTTTCTATTTCGATGTACTTGGATTTTTATTCGATGTAACTGATAATAGGACGTTAGCTTTACCGTTTGGTAGATTTTCTGCACTGTGGATCCTTTTATTGGTCCCATTGCTCGACATTGGAGATCTTCCCGAATTCTGTTCTTCGGGGTCGGAAGTACCGTCACGAGTACCGTCGTTGGTACGGCAGGAATCTTCCCTCTGAATCTCTGCTCCCAGCAGATTCCCGCTATATCGACAATCTCCAGGACCTCCCACCTCCTTAGAAATACAGGGAAAATTTAGAACGCCTACAAATCACACCTTAACGGTAGAACCACCAAGTGCAATCAAAATGGTTGATTTTAGATGGCCCACCACAGCAAAAAAGCTACCGGCAAAAATGTACATAAATAAAAAGTGTATATCATTGAAAAACATGTATGAAACAAACCCCTTCCAACACGTCCCCTTGACCCCTCAAGGCACCCCCGCTGGCCTTGCAGAAGTCCTGGATGATTCTCTTGACCTCGGCGAGGTCCCGTTCCCTCTGCCCTCCCTCGGAAGGTCCCTCCTCAGGACGTCCTAAAATCGGAACATCCTACTTTGGATTTTGACAATTTTCCCTCCCCGGGTATCCTTACCAATTGCACCAGAGCCGCCATTTTGGTCCCCTCCCGCGGTCCTGAAACATATCCAATTAATCTCGAGCTTTTAATGCATTAGTTGAATGAATATCTTTTCCTCAGTGCGCCCAGATTTTGTCTTACCTATTTTCGTGTTCGGTTTGCACGTCGATAGACCGGGGAGCTTCTTCAGGAGTGGAGGCATCCCCTTCGAGGGAGTCCTTGGAAGTGGAGGCGCGCTCTGGAGGAGCCCGGGTACCCTGAAGAGGACTTCCCTGTTTCGGGCCTTTAGGACGGGAGCTGACGGGCCGGACTTCTCCTGCCTGGACCAAAATAACAGGAGATGGCTCGTGACTGGCAGTTACTGTCCCCAGGGGAACGGCGATGCTCGTTGTCTCGCTGGCAGCGACGCAGTAAATCGGCGTTTGACGGGGTCGAAGTTCAGCCATGGGGCTCGCCGTCTCCTCGATGACGTCCTCGATGTCGACTATCATCGCTTCCGGCTCCGAGTCGTCCACCGCGATGTCTTCCGTCGTCTCCTCCTCGGTTATGACGGGCTCCGATCCCATTTGCGAGTCGTCTGCGGGGGGTCCAAAAAAAGGACGGGTGATTAACGAATCGGCCGATCACCGTTTTCGGAACCGACAATGTTTATTAACATCGACATACGCACCGACAATGCACTCCGTTTCGAGATTTTCCACGTCGTTCAGAGACAAGCTAGAAGGCTGTCTGATCGGTGTTTCTTCTCTGACGCTACCCTCCACCACGCTGCCCACGGATTTCGATCTCTTCAGCATCTGGCGAACCCCCGATTCGTCTGAAATGAGATAATCGATGTTGCAGAACCTGTCAAAAATGTTTAAAGAAAAATATCCATCCGTTAAGGTGCTACTAATTGTTTGACATTTTCCCACGTGAATATTGAAGCCCGCTGTCTATGAAATTTCTTCTTTAAATTTGTTTATAAACGTTTCCTAAATTGAAGAAAATTAATTCACGGGTGTCAGACCTTTTATTAGAGCCTCGATTATCACGTGGTTGATTGTTAATTATTTGTACTTATTTATGCTATCGCTCGATTAAAGAGGACAATAATAGTACCGCGACCGTGTTGTCATGAGTGGCGGTAAAAATATCACGTCTCACGTGTCTTGTCAAGATACGTTAGCCGTCCTCCGCGGTGCTGCCAAAAATTCCCGATTCATTCCGTATGTTTTGTTGACAGCTTGCGGGGGAATAAACAAATTGACAAACGTACAGCTCGCGTTCACAGTCGTCAGCCCCAGGGGACATCTGGTAGCAGGGTGGAGGAGACGAAATGTCGAGGATTCTGGAGAGATGCCTTGGCTCTTTTCCCACTCGTAGAGCTTCTTCGTGAACTTCCTGGAGATGCCCTCGAATCGGTAAAACCCTGTCGAGGTGTGAACCAGGATCTCCTTCTTCTGGGGGGACGAGCTTACGACCCTCCGCAATTTTGACAGCCTGCAAAAACGATTCCGTCATTAAATAGAAATTCAAAGGATTACATAAAGAAAGATAGAAAAAAAAAAAACAGGAATATGAAATTCGAGGAGAAGATGAAGACATAATAAGATACCTGGCCTCCCTGTCCAGGAACTTCTCCCTCTGCCTCTCGATCTTCTGGTGCTCTCGCTCGATCTTGCCGAGCTCCCTCTCGAGGACCCTGAAGTCCTTGTCCTCCACGTTCTTCCAGGTCTTCCCTGTCTTCCCAGGGTCCCTGCAACTCGACTCCTGGTCCTCCCAGCGGCTGGCCTTGATCCTCTTCCACTCCTCCATCTTCTTGATGAAGTCCTCGGAGAGGTGCGTCTTCGCGTATTCCTCCGACTTCGAGTCCACCTTGGGGGGTCTCCAGAGCTGCCAATCGGTGATTCGTTTCCTCGCTGCTTGCTGTTCGCAGCTCGTAGGGCTGCACTCGCCTTTTTTGATCCTCTTCCACTCTCGGAGCTTCTTCTTGAACTCTGGGGTCAGCTGCTCCTCGCCCAGCATCCGAAGCCCCGCCGAACTCCTCGAGGGATTTCCTCCCCTTGAGTCTCTCGTTTCCTGGACCAGAGGCTGCGGACTGCTCGCCGGCGACCCCGACTTAAGCTTGTCCCATTCGGCCAGCTTCCGGTAGAATTCGGCACTCAGTTTCTCGTGGAGCAGCTGATAATTTCTCTGAATCTCGGCCTGGATGGCCGAGCTCGCCAAATCGTTCTCCAGGTCCTCCGCACTTGCGTTGTAACTCGCCAGGCCGTCCGATTCTGCACGCAGAAAAATCATTCACGGTCGTAACGAGACATTTCACTTGCAAATAAACCGCGGGTAAGAATTTTCATTATCCTCATAAATTTCCCCCCGCGAGCTTCGTCCAAGGTGATTTACATTTCGAATGCCTAGAATTCTCTTGGCAAGCCGGAAGAGTCAGCCCCTTATTTCGGGACCATTATGTCGGAAATGTTGCTATTAAATGCGACATACCAGGGCGCCCAGGTTTGATTCGGTAAATAAACAGATGATAAATCCATATTCGAGTCAAGTCATTTTCTAGATCCCCGGGAAATGAGACCTCTCGCGTTTCAATTCTCGGCGGAAAGTGCATCCGCCGAGGTATTTATGTTATTATTTCTGCAGCTGCATCCGAGCTGCGTTACATATTTCCCGAGTTATCACAACAAGTTGTAACTACCACTTGCGATGCTCTTCAGGAATCGAGGAGACGCCAGATATCGCGTGTGTATACTCTGTTAAGACAGTGAAATAAATCCCTTAAATGTGTATTGCAATTATTAATACGGTGTACTAAATTCATAATCCATTGGATGCGTTTAATGCGTGTATACTTTTAATTTCACACGTCAGTTTAGAGCATGTACATGCACTGTAATTTAAATTGCCTTATTAAATTAGAAATGAATATCATTGCTGAAGAGTAGCTCGCCACCCTGGTGGAGGTCACATCGCGTGTTCATAAAAATTAATTTTAGTCCTCGAGGATGCCCGAATCGAGAAGCAGCCAACGCCACATTTTCCAGCCATATTCTCAGCCGCGTCAGAAAATAATCCGGCAGTTAACGTTCTGATTCATCCCCCGAGATTCCAGGGCATAAATTCCCCGAGACGTCCTTCGGGATTAAACGGCTCCCCGCGGAGATGCGAGATATCCGGATGATGTATCGACACGTCTCGTATTTTTAGCCCAATCATAACAAATCTTCACGATCGAGAGGCGATCTCCCCTTCGACGATCGCCGCCACCTTCGGAGGGCGATTTCCAAAACCGCCTGAGTGCTCGGAAAAGTGAAAAGCAGTGAAAAGTTAGTCTAAACATGCTCTCGAAATGTCACGACTTCGCAACAATAAAAAAGGTTTCGCGCTAATTTCTTCACATGTGAGAAGACGCGAGAAGTCGGGTCCCGGGTCCCTGACCGTCCGCAAAGTATCAAGGATATTTCATACCGTCGAAAAAGGACGAAATCCTGTTGGGGCTGGAAGGAATGGAGGCAGCGTTCGTCAGGAAGGCCTTCTTGACTTTGTTCCACTTGGAATCGTGTCTCTGGGTCTTAGGGGACGAGGTCTGCGACTCCGCCTTCACCGACCTCTGACAATGGAGTCCAAAGTCGTGAGAAAAATTGCAGAAAAAAAAAAAAAAAAAAAAACATCCAACCGCGTCCCCCACTGGGATTAATTAAATGTATAAAAATAAAGTCACGATCACCTGTCTCCTGAACTCGGAGGGCACTTCCTGGCAGGTCCTCGACCTCGTGACCGAGAACTGCGAGGACTCGTTTTGGCTCGTTGTGGGTGGACGCTTCGGCGAGTCGAATTCCTCGGAGGGCGATCTTTCCTCGCCGGAATCGAGGAGAAGTGTGAGCAGAGGCGAGACCGATTCCGGGGAGGAGGTGCATCTGAGTTCCTCGTTGGATGGAACCGTGATGGTCAAAGTAGGTGTCAACCTTCTGGTCGCCAAGTCCACGACCTCGTTTTCCTGCCCGGATGGTTTCCTCGGCGACGCCGGCGCTGGAGACCGCTCGCCTGTGATCTGGATCCTTGGCCTTCCGACGTCCTGTCCGAGAATAAAAACCAAGGACCACACATTACCGTCGATCCTGCGACTCCCCTCGACATTTTGATCCGCCTTTAACTACATTTTGCTGGCGAAACGGCGTTTTGAAATTTCGTAAAAATCGCTATGGCGTCTAAAATGGATTTTTAGTATGCCCTCCGTATTTGCTGCCAAGTTAGATTTGACAATTTCCCGGAGAGTGTATTATCGGCGTTTGCAGTTTTGAAATCTCGTAAATAGTACATTACCTGCCAAATTAATTAAAGAATTTCCCGAGGAGCACAACGCCTTTACATACCAAGTGTTCTAATCACGCATTTATAGACTGACATAAGATAAATCATCGTTGCGTGGCTCGTTTTGTGTCGCCTTTCGCGAAAGAGTTAATTGCAAGAAAAAGTCGCGGATCCGTTTCTGGAATAGATTAGTCGCCTCGTCGGCGTTTCTGCAAAGAGATCAGAACCGACCTCGTTGGAGAACAAGGTCTCCCTGTGACGTCCCGACCGTGTCAGAATTTTCCGGGAAATTTGGGGCGATCAGCTGTTCGCCACCCCCGTGACGTTCTCCACGGTTCGCCATGGAGAACACCGAGGTGTCCCTGGCAAGGGACGCGTGAAGAGATCAAAAGGAGAGGCAACACTTTAGAACCCGAGACCAATGGATGCTGCGCCCGAGACAGGCCTCGATATCTCCTATTTCTTTCCGGGTATTTTTAAAACCGGGAGGTGCCATTACGGAGGCGAGAACATCCGCGCCTGGTTCCATCATTGGACGTGAACCACGTTTCTATCTGGAAGTCGCATTTCGATCAGAAAATCACATTTCAATCGTCCCTTCCTACACTAGGCATCCTCGATTAAACCGAAATCGGTCTTACGACGAACTGTCACGATTTTACCAGATAATGGGGAATTAAATTGCTATAAAATGAATTTAGTGTCGTAACAAAAAAGTGACGTAGACCACTTTCCCAATTATCGGTACATGTGTCTGCATACGATTATCAAGGCTTAGTCAATTTCCAGAAGAAAAGTTCTCAAACGTTTCGCTTCCATTCCGAGGCGGTCTTGGCGGACCTCTTACGTCATAGGATTTCCTTCTCCTTTTCTCTCGCGTTTCTAAAGCGACCTCCGGACGGGCGGAGATAGTAAGTCGGAAGGTAAAAACAGAAATTACATCCTGAACGATGTCGGCCGACTCGAGGCTGGAAATCGAGTAGCCGTCGTCGCTGCGCCCGCTGCCGCACCCCGGTTGACGTCTCAAACTGTCGCGTCGTAAATAAATCATGTCTTTCACCTTTCCCCACGGTGTTTTGTGGCCCTTGTCCGCTTTCTTGCCCCCGGGGCCGTCCTGAAAGAGACATCATCGGAACATCACTCGCGGGAAGGCGTCTCCGTCGCGGCCCCGTCCCTTAAACCCGCGAGCCCTGCCACGGCGCGTTAAGGGTCACATTCGCGAGCCAAAATCCCGGGAATTTGGACCTTACCGACCGGCTCCAAAAATGGCGCGAATGATTAATAGGAACCGACAGCTGGGAGTTGAAATAGTCCAGCCACGATTCGTCTCGCGATTCGGATTAAGAGATTGAACACGGTCGCGATTCGATATCTCTGGTGTTATCAATTACTCGATTGATCTTAAATATGGATATATGTGATATTTGATAGCAAAGGCCCGATCAGGACGGCTCGTCTCGGAATCGACTTTCCCGCTTTTCCACGCTCGCGCGTTTCTTTTTTAGAAGCTTGGCTTCGGCGCAGCGTCCGATGCCAATGTCGTTCCTCGAGAAATAGGTGTCGGCCGGACTTGTCATAATTGTTCGAAGTCCTCGGGCCGTACTAGATTGTTTTCCGAGGTGATTGGGAATTATTGTCGGGCGTACCTTGGAGGTGGACGCGAAGAATGCGATGCTGTGAGGAATGGATGCATCTCCGCCGAGGGACCGACTTCGACGACCGGGTTCCTCGTCTCTGCCGTCTTCCCTTGAACGAGGAGACAGTTGTCCGGAATTGTTGGACGTGCTCTTGTTGGACCCTAACCGGGAAAATATGGGGAATATGTTAAGGATCCTGAGAGTGTATTTTGTAACGATGTTCCTTCATCTTGGGCACCGTAATCGATCGCGCAATATCTAAAAACTGAGGTCTTAGAGATCCTACTGTAGAATAATTTCTGGTATTAATGCACGGTTCCAAAAGCGAGTCCAAAGGCTTCGGACTATCTCACCGTGGAAGATGTCCTCGGTGGAGGAAGACGAAGACAGAGTGCCAGGAGTCGGGGGCGCGGACATTTCCGCAGTCCTGGGGGAAGATCCGGAGACGACGGAGCCGTCGTTATTCTCCGGCACTCTGAGGAACCTGGAGACGTCGTTCTCCACGTGGTCGCCCCCGGTGTAGGCGCGTTCCCATTTGAAGGCCGCCTTAACCTTGGTCCACTTTGAAACCTTGGGGGGTCGACCTAGGCCCACGGCGCGTTTATTCCCACCGTTCCCAGGAGTGGACCTCCTGGAGAACCTGCCGACGTCCCCGGGGCTGAAGGAGCCCGGCAGGTCGACCGCAAGGGACCGACTTCTCTGGCGAGGAAGTGGCGGCCTCAGGTTCCTCTTCGGGGTCGGCTCGGGCGCGGTGGCCAGCATCGCCGCGAGCAGGCACTCCGCGAAGGCTGCGTCTTCCTCGGGGAGCACCAGTTCCTCTCCTGCCAGGGCGGCTCTCTCCAGGTCCAAATGGGCGCTCTTCAGGGCTCGCAGCCGCTCCAGCTCGCGGATCCTCCGGCAGAGCTTCGAGTTCCGGTCGCGCAGATTCAGCACCTAGTGATCCCATCGAGGCGAGAAAATTCGAGATGAGTAGCGGGGAATAAATGCAAAAGCAAGATCAAGAGCAAGACTGTGGTCTTGTCTCGTCTTAGATAAACGTTCTCGGTACCTGTTCCATCAGCGAGTACAGCCTGTCCAGGTGATCGAAGGCGTCTTCGGCTCGGCCAAGACTCGCGGCGAAGGTCGACGTCGACCTGGAGAGGCACGGGGGTACCTCCACCCCTGGGGGGCTCGGCAGGTCCATCAAGTAATCCAGGAACTCGCCCTCCTTCCTCAAGGCCTCCGCCTCCACCTGCGCCTTATGTCGGGTGAAGGCCTCGTCGAAGACGTTGGTCTCCGGGTCTGGTGGTGGGACCGGAAGCTGGCTCGGGTCCAGTTTTTCTCGTCGAGGCTTCTTCCGCTCCCGGGGAGCCTCGCACCCTCGAAGAGGACCTTGATCCTCTCTTGCCGACCCTGGCGATGGTTCCGAGGTCCTCGGGCCTCCAGGGTCGACTCTGCTCTCCGGCATCGACTTCTCTGCCATCTTGGATTTTGTTTCCTTGAGTAATTTAATATTAATATCGCGGTAGGTCGCACCAAATATTAAACTAATTTGGTACATTTTACGAAAATATTCGGTTTATTGGTCGAAATATTTTTTAAATATTAGCCCGATAATATTGTCACGATATTATCAATTACTAGCCAATATTGAGGCAATGTAATATATTCGCGTACCTGTTTTCTCTTCGGGGTATCTCCGGATGCTATCCAGCAGCTTCCTCGAGGAAGAGGCAGAAATTAAATCCAGGTTGCTTGGACCTTTTGGTATCGAAGAGTCTTTTCAGGGTGTTTCCCCTTTTTTCCAAAGACTTTCCCCAGGTATGACACTTTCGGAGGCCTTTCGATGAAATCAATTTCCGGTCGAGGGAAGGAAACCTACAAGTTGCCCCCATACAGCACCATAGTGCTTCAAAGACTTGGCTATATCAGAGTATATAGCGCAATCGTAAATTGTCATCCCCGAAGAAATCAAAAAATTCCATGCGAGTCTTAAATAAGCATTCCAGCACTTTAGCCTCGCTTGCTCGGGAATGACAATGAGTGGTACGAGTCCCTTGTTAAATAAAAATGTTAATTTCTATTTTATTCGAGCCCCCTTACCGGGCTCCGCGATGCGTCTCTCGCGATTCCAGGCATTCCCCTCAATCACCACGCGAAAGCTCCACTTTCCTCGAGCTTAACAGCTTTCCGAGGTCCAAGAAGAAGATCCTCGGTCTTGGATCAGCTCGAGAGGTGGTTTCGGAGGTCCACTCGAGCTTTCCGAAGCTCTCATGTCGACACCTCCGAAAGCTGCAGCGAAAGCTCGTCGACGGTTCCCATCTCGAGGTGGTCCCTTGGTCCGAGGTTCTCTCCCATATACGGTACCAGAAAAATCCGAGGAAAGCTCTCTTTCTTCGAGATTCCCTTTCAAAATTTCTTTATCTACATGGTACCACCAAGGCTCACCGCAAGCTCTACGAGAACTCAGTGGAAACTTTCCGGGCGCACCACGACGCGTGTTCCAGGATTCCCTCTCGAGGTTCCTTCCCTTACATGGCACTTTGGAAGCTCAACGGAGGCTCTTCCAGCGCACTTCGGCGACGCGTGTCCCTTTTCAAGGTTCCTTCCCTTACACGGCACTTCGGAAGCTCATCGAAAGCTCTTCCGGCGCACGGCGGCGAGGCGTGTTCCGGGGTTGGCGAGTTAACTCAGGAGGAAAGTGTTGCGGTTAGCGCGGTTATTTCCGGACGCATCGACATATTTCGGGCCGCAAGCTCTCTCGGCAAAGCTCTGCTCGGCCCCTCGAGAGGCGATGCCAGGACTGTAAGCTCTGCTCGGACTGCGGGCCGACCGAGCTCTGGCGAAGCTCCGAGAGCTTCGAACCTTCCGAGAGCTTTCGAGGTTCGAGCTTCGAGTCTCGAGCTTCCCGCCGAGCCGCGCCTGCGTGTTCGAGGCCTTCTGCCGATCCGCGGCCGAAATAGATACACGGAAACGCCGGCCCGGCTCGGTGAGAGACGGGACCGCGCCTCTTCACGCTGTTTATTTACCGAGCTTGAAATTCGGCTATCGGCCCGGTTTCTCGTCGAGACAGTTTTCGGTGAGATCCGATACAACCGCGACCGTGGCAGATTATTTTCATTCACGAGTTGCCGCTTTTTCCGCGGATTTTTCTCCAACGGGTTAAGAATTTATGAATACAAGTCGACGATCTTCATTTACTAATGGACGAGTAAACTGGCGGAATTGTTTGCGATCCCCTCCTTGTATGCGTTTACAATGTCAATGGAAAATTTCTTGTTTTACTCTCGCATAGGCAGGTTCGTGAAATCGGGAATCGGAATGGCGATGATCGCGGCCCCTGAAATGATAAATAGTTGATTAAAAATAGCGTTCACCGTAGAAATTTGTAAAATACTCTTAACGAAGGGCTTTCTACCTATCACGAGTCCAGCCACTATGTAGATAGCCGACAAACAAGACATGCTGAAGAAATACTTTGCAAGAAATCCCACCACATGCGGCAGTATCCTGACAAATCCCACGGCGGTGCCTCTGGAAAATAATTTTAAAAATGCCAAACAAATTAATACAAACAAAATGCAAGATAAAAATCATTCAATTGCCGATTATGGATTAATACATGTCGCTTTAGGTACCTTACGGACGTGGGGTAGTTCTCCAGGACTAAAATGCTCCCCGTGGTATAGCTCGTTGCATACGTGGCCAGGAAGAAGGAGGCCAGGACGATTCTAGTAACGTGTCTCGATGCGAATATCAAGGTGAGGATGGCTGTTCCGCCGACGAGGCCGGAAGTAACTAAAAAGATCATTATAACGTGATTATTGTTTAAGAACTGCATTAGGTACGGTTAAATTAATTAATCGGCCATCAGGGAACTTATACCATTACGAAGTAATTGTTTCACTTTCAAGGCCTACGCAAGGAACGATAATATTGATTCATCTATTATAAGTTAACTTATACTAACTGGTTGATAATCTTCTGCCAACTCTGTCGATTCCGATGACGAGGAGGACCTCGCCGATCACGAAGCTCGCAGACAATAGCAAGAACAACTGAAATTGGCCGTCGTTCACTTGGTGACAATTACGGAGAAAGCTCAGCCCTATGTCTCCGGTATCGACGATGCATCCTTGATCCTTGTACGACCCATCGTCCTTGTTTCCGACGATCTCTTGGAGAACGTGCGCGTTCCACAAAGCGAACCAGCCGAACCTGTATAAATGATTAATAAACAAATCCGAGGTTATACAAATTCGTCCTAATAATGAATTAACATACCCTCCGTAAAATTTCTTAAATAAAAACAATCCTACAACGCCACCTCACAACTCTAAAAATGATCTAGGAAACTTGATACACTTACGTACTAAACGTGTAATATACGTTTACAGGACATATCAACGGAACGTCATAAAATCATTCCACCGCGCGTGGATAGATATTGCAAGAAAAATGTTATAAAATTATAATGATTATCCCTTTAACAGTATGCGGCAAAATTTCCGACGTCTCGTCAATCGAAGGCCAGACATCAGAGAAATGTCAAGGCAAAGCTCCACTGTACCCAGGAAACAGGAGAAGATTCGCGAATGCCGCCAAAGCCGTGACCCTCGCAAAAGGTGGAGTGCAGATTTTCAGGACCCTCTTCCCGGTCTTCCTGAAATACCTGCCGACATTCTCGACGAGTCCTCGCGACTCCTCGTCCTCGTCCTCGCAGGGCTCGACGCAGTCCCCCAGGTCGCAGGGCTGAAATACGGGCTCGATAAATAAACCGATTAATTAACAATTCCTCCCAGTTCTCGGCACTGGACTCGACGAATCGCCAAACAGGGATCCGAGGGCCGATGCCGAAAACTTATTATTATTTCGTTATTTCAGCCGGTGGGCCGATGTAAAAAAAGAATCCCCGGCTGCCGTTGGACCTACCGGATAGTTGTCGGCGTGCTTCGAATAATTAATGGCGTACATTTGCTGGAGAACCGCGAGAGCCTGCTCGGGGCGTCTCCGGTGGAGGAGATACCGAGGACTAGGAGGAAGAAGACTTGCGGCGCAGGCCATCACTAGGGTGGGAGCTCCCCCGAGTCCTGCCAGGACTCTCCAGGAACTCGGCCTGAACTCGTTTCCCAGCATCCTGACGACGGACGGCACGAGGGCCCAGGATATCCCTGCAAATTACCCGTTTAATTAATTCCTGGTCCTCGTTTCCTTAATACGAGACAACCCCATCCTGGAGAGTTAATAATTTAATTACTGTAATTACTGGTCGCATTATTTCGAGGCCGGATAATAGCGAGGAATTTTATAGAATTACCTAAAGCCGACACAAATCCCATAACCCAGAGGAGGTCGATGACGGCCAAACAGGATCCCCTCTTCTTCGCAGGCAGACATTCTATAAAATACACTCGTAGCATCGCATTGTTACTCGCTACTCTGGAATCAATGGACTCATATTTCATAAATATGTACTGAACATTCCTCTAAAAGAATGTCCTTTAAATTAATTCCATCCGCGATCGGATGGTGATTGATTCCGGAGTAATCGCTTACCCAACGCCAAGCATGAAAATGAACAGGTTTATCAGGAAATACGTCCGGGAAAAGGAGAGTCCTATGGAGGCGCAAAATATTACCACCATGGTGATCGGAATCGATCCTTTCCGACCATTTGCGTCTGCCAATGTACCGAAAAAAAATCCACCGAAAGCCATTCCTGAAGGGAATGATAACGACGTCGATAATGGTTTCTTCGTGCGGATAAATGGTTTAATTTCTTAATTATGGGGTTTAGTAGATTGTGAAATGCCATTCAATCAGGGATTTTATGAGAATATGAAAACACGTAGGAAACATTCCCCAACGGGGTTATCATGTTTTATAGAGAATTTAACGTTCTTAAGCCTATTAAATATTTCCGATACTTTCTTAATCTCTATTAAACTAATTCCCATTGAAACTCATTTCACAATCAATTAACCTTCTTAAGTTGATTAATAATTAAAGAGTCCGGAACATAGCATACCGAGGGATGAAACCGCATTTATCGTTATCACTTCGTTTCTCCCATAATGCATGTCGCATGCAAGGAGGGGTGCAATGATAATTAGGGTAAGTGAAGCTCCGGCCTCAGCAAGGGTGCACATACCACACAGACCCACAAGGAAGTAATGGCATAAGCCCCATCCTGAGGATCATTTCATTAATTAGAATCACCACCCTATCCATTAATGCATGACTCATTGTGCCGCTTATACAACTACTCTAATTACTATACAATTCCAAGGCCACATGCAGCGGGAATACAAGGTTGTCGCACGAAAGTCGAAGAAATAGGATCATACAGACATTGCATTTTTGACAATTAACCTGGACACGCATTCACGGGTTTTTCTGCAATTAATTACCTGTCTTGTTAAGCGCCGACTCATATTCATCGCCCATTACGCGGAATATTAATTAACTCCGTAATTGTCCTCGATTTCCTCCCGTTACGATTCAAGGTTACGTCAGACAAATCGTGGGAACCCAATTACTCACACAGTGTGCCGCTTGCATAACAATTCGCAAAGGGTATTAACATTCGTTTAATTTTAAACAGCCGACCAGGAACCGCGACGACTCATTAATGCCTTCGCTTTTGCCTTGGCCGAGGAACGACCTCAACGGAGTAGAAAGTAGAGCAAACGTTGGAACGTTCTCATTTGTTTCGAGCACAATACACCGATAGTTAATTGTGACCAACACAAGTCCGTCTGCTTGAGTAATACTTGACCATGAACATATAATTACATTTTAAATAATCGCACGTGAGGAATATCCGTTGTTACACAATGTAACTTGGTACACTCATCGACACTAGATAAAGTACGATGGAACAACTCGACTGTATAAGGTGTACAAAAGAAAACCTTTAATAAATGGAAACTACAAAATAGCTTTTTCCCATGAGTATACGAGGAATACAAAATATTACCGTTACACGCTAGAATACTAAACCAGGGAAATGTATCTGGTAGTTTCAGAGGCAGAAAGAACTGTGATGATCGTGATACGTGTTATGTAATGACTCTTTTCTGCACAGCAGTTAAGAATCCTTGAAGTACTCCTTGGATCCGACTACGTCGGGTTTCATGGTCTTCTTTCCTGGTTTCCAGCCAGCTGGGCACACCTCTCCGTGTTCGTCCGTATACTGGAATGCCTGGACGAGTCGCAATGTTTCGTCTACGGATCTGTAAACATTTTAATGAACAATATTAATAAAATATGATAACCAAGATACGTACTTATATATCTAACTTTTGTTTTTCTTCAGATTTCAATTAAAGAATTAGTTAATTTATGTTTTAAAAATGTAAATAATTGTATACCTTCCAACGGGGAGATCGTTGACCGTAACTTGTCTCAAGTTCTGTTTATCGTCGATGATGAAGAGACCACGGAAGGGGATTCCACTTTCCTCGTCGAGTACGCCGTAATCTCTGGCAATCTTGGCACTTTTATCGGCAAGAAGGGGTATGCTCATCTCGCCGAGTCCACCTTGTTTACGCGGTGTGTTTACCCATGCAAGGTGACTGAAGTGGGAATCGGTAGAAGCTGCAATAACTTCGCACTTGATATTACGGAATTCTTCCGCACGGTCAGAGAATGCAATGATCTCGGTAGGGCAGACGAAAGTGCTGTAAAAATATCATACATTAGTCAAAGCTTCAATGTGAAGGAAATTAATTCTTCGATCAAGTACGTACAAGTCCAGGGGATAGAAAAACAGGACAACATATTTGCCCTTAAAGTCAGCAAGGCTGATATCTTTAAACTGGCCATTGACAACAGCAGTGCCTTTGAAGGCAGGAGCTGGCTTTTGCAACGAGGGAATCGGCATCTTCACAGAAATAACCTGTAACACAAAATGAAAGCAAGTTATCGACACTGTTTTTCATAACTGTAACTTTTAACCCACACAAAATATCCTAAATACTCAACAAATTATTGCGAGAAGCAGAAATTCAAATAATCTCTCTCCTTCGACTCGAGTGTCCGATCAGAGTTCTATAGATACCCTTTACATTCAATCCCCGATATCGCACGTTAATTTCTCATTCATCATATCAAGGATCGCAAGTTCATTCCTGAGTCATAAGATAACGGCTCGGTCAATTACATTTACTGTCTTCATATCTCTAATCGAACATACATGTGCAAAACAGGCGACCTTTGAATGGCCAAGAAACTTCCAGAAAAGATGACCTTGCAACGCAGTCACAGAAATTCGTTACATCCACGAATCACCATAAATATGAATGGAATATACTTTAATGACAAGTCGAAGTCTAGAGTTACGCAATTTTCTCAAGATTAGGTAGCATTATCCAATATAATAAAGCCTGGCGTCATTCAAAGAGCCGTTAGGCGTTCCTTTTCTTTGATGGCCGCGGCACAGGGCACAACAAAGGATCTTCAAAGAGCGGAAGACTGGAGGGGTAAATGCCGGGTTTTCTGTTTCACCGAAACTCTGAATAGTCGTCGTTCGAGTTGGACGTTATTCCGGATTACGGGAGACAGAATTATGCGGAATCAGAAATATTCGGACATAGGTAGACGTATTGGCAATATGTAGATTAAACGTAGGTTACCGGTTATTCGGCCTGCAATTCGGCAACTCGATGTCGTTCTTCGCTGGAGGGTCGAGGGAGAATGAGCTGGAGCGAGATGTGGCACGAAAGAGTGAGGTTAGTCGGGAACTGTCGATGCGCGCCGATTCGCTGGATTCGCTGATCTCTTTGGAATTCGCCGGACGACTGTGCAGATTGTACACACCTGAAGAACCGAGCTTGCCGCCGTTGCCGGTAGTCGATTCGTGACGTAAGTTCCGTTAATCACGCGCAGAAAATTGCGGTAATGGCGTTTGCCATGGTAGTCGATCGATGGTAAAATGTGAATCCATCTTTACCGTGGGTCGTTTCACTAGTTCCAACAATACCCGCTAGTGAAATGTCGAAGCCTAGATCTTTCTAATGGTTCGCTCCTACTTGCCATGATTCTTTATTCCTTTTTTACAGTAAACAAAATTATTTTTTTTTCAACGGCATATTTTGAACGGTATTCAAATTTTCGCGGTCCTTTGTTTAAATTCATTTTATTAGTAGGTAAGAGGGCAGCACTGCGCAATAGTTACGAAGTAGAGGCCATGACTACTTTCATCTTCTCTCTGGCGCTAGTAGCGCGTTTGACCTCCGTTGTTTCTTTCCCGATTTGTCAAAATGGTGAGGTGGTGCGGATTTCTCGGGCCACGTGAGAAATCCAAATGCATCCGCGGGACGTGGCGCGATAGCAACATTTAAGATCGGCAGAATTTAAAAACATTCTGTGAGGTTAATTAATCGGTATGGCTTTCTTTCGCAGGGTATCGATATTAACCATAAACACGACCGCAAGGTGCGGCGGAAGGAACCGAAATCGCAGGATGTCTATCTTCGGCTTCTTGTTAAAGTAAGTTGTAAAACGTGGATTTGTGTGCCTTAAAGTAAAGAATTTTAGTTTACGCTACTTCTTTCCTACGAACTTCTTTTAGCAATTTAGTTACGAAACATGTTAACGGATGGGTTACTTAAAGGTTAGGTTTCTGTTACCGTACCGACCGACTGCCACCGGACGTTATTTTGTATGCATTAATTTTAGGGTTAGCTTCTACTTTTTGTTAACATATTTAATTATATCTCTATAATAACCTACTTTATTAACAAAATAAAAGCTTATTTTCTAATTTGTTGTGCGAACTGCACTCTGTGTCAGTTTTCTAAAATAAACTGATTCAATTTGAATGTTCGCTAAAGAAATGCAACCAGCTTTCCTATTCCGGCTTTCGTAATATCACGAAAATCGTTTATACTAGCTGGCACAAGGTTTCTTTAACTTCTATCTGTCTTTTCAATTGCTGTGAATGTTTATTAATGTGTCCGACCTTACGTTTCAGTTGTACCGGTTTCTCGCGAGACGTACAAACTCGAAATTCAACAAGATCATTCTGAAGCGACTCTTTATGAGTAAGATAAATCGCCCACCAATTTCATTGGCTCGGGTGGTACGGTTCATGAAGAAGCCAGGTCGTGAGAACTGCATTGCGGTAATCGTTGGTTCAGTGACTGACGACGCAAGAATCTTTCAGATTCCAAAACTTACCGTGAGTAAAGAAATATCCATTGCACTAACATTGTATAATGATGGATAATTGAAACTAATAACCATTTTGTTAACTAGGTTTGCGCTTTAAGAATTACTGAAAAAGCCCGTGGACGCATTCTTAAAGCTGGAGGTGAAATCATAACTTTTGATCAACTGGCCCTTAGAGCACCAACCGGAAGGAAAACTGTTTTAATGCAGGGTCGACGTAATGCCAGGGAAGCCGTTAAACACTTTGGACCAGCTCCTGGTGTACCCCACTCCCATACGAAACCACTCGTTCGGTCGAAGGGTAGAAAATTCGAGCGAGCCAGAGGTCGTAGGCGCAGTTGTGGTTACAAGAAATAAGCTGTTTCATCTTGTCATCGTTTATTACCCCAAATATTAAAATTATTCCTATAGGAAGTTGTTCATAACATTTTTTTTGAACAGATATCCGTACCTAACATCCTGTGTTTGGGAAGATTGGGAAATAAATGGTGACATTTATAATTTCGCCGACTTACAATCTATGTATTTTTTACAATCCTATCGGTATGTCAGTAGTGATTTTGTCATACTCACTTATCATTCCTCAAACCTTTTGCACAGAGAAAAATAGGAAATGTTTAATTTAATGATAGAATTTAATAATATAATTATGTAAGAATTATCAACTATTGATAGACTAGGTTAAAACTATTCCTTACCAGTTCAGTTTCTTCACCTTCTCCTTCCTGCTGTTCCTCGTCAGTCTGCTCCTCGTCACTAGAATAGACAGGAAAATATAATTTGGATTCTTCCAACCCTTTTTCAGGGCCATCACTAACGTGATAAGGCCCGATTCCAGCAAAAGTCAGAAATGCTTCGGAGCCAATTCTCTTTACGACGCAGACGAACACTTCATACCTGAAGTACAGAAATCAGATACGTATTGTTCACTTCCTATACTCTCATAAATTATAGAAAGATTAGCTGTATTTTGTATAGATTAACATATTTCACCGACTTACCCAGATTTGTCTTTAACCAGAGTTTCGAATTCTTCTATGCTGTCAGCTATTTGCTTGGCACTTGGAGGTTTATCTCGATCGAAGACTCCAAAATTCACTATTTCTGACTCGTACATTTCCATTACAACTTTTAGGTCGTTTTTTCTGGTACTGTCGTACTTGAAAACTATCACAGGAGACCTGTGGGCCTTGTCCTCGTACTTAAAAATTCATTAAAACAAATTAATATCAAATGTAAGTAACTTTACGAAAACAATTTTATTCTATGTACTGGATATTCATATTTAAACCTGATGTTCATACTTAAATATACTTACAGGGTGAGTTAGTTCCAGATATTTTCGAAAAATGGTCCGAAAGACTGTGACCTTACTTCGAGGACTCGGAGGTGCCCAAGCCACCGGAGAAAAAACCATGTCATCCAAATCAATGGAGTACGCTGGACTGTGTTTCTCTGCGAAACTAGGTAAGGAGTACATAATTATTACTGCAATAATAATTATTACTGTTATAAAGTATTACAGATAGAAATTAATTACATAAATACCATCCTTCAGGAAGAGGCTGCGTGACATCTGGTAACACCGGTTCCCCAAATAACAGACTCAGAAGGAACTTTTCCACGTCAACGTCTTCGTGGTCTACGCAGATCTTCAGTCGCATGAGCAAGCACTTTCCATCCAGAAGAAGCTTCTTTTCTTCGGCACTGACTTCGTAATTCGACTAAAAAATTCATTTCGCCTTTCTGTCGAGCTTATGATAAGAGGATCCTTAGAATAGGGCGATGTACCTCTAGAAATAATTTGCTGAGAGCAGGGTCGTCCAATGGCTTTTTAAACTGCTCCTCTATGGTGTAATGCTCTGGAAGGATTTCTTCCGTAAGTTCGACATACGGTGGACTGTCTTTCTTGTTTCGTCTTAAACCATCGTCGTCTTTGAAGACCCAGGGGTACAATATTAAGCAAGTTTCGTCGTGGAGAACGTCCATGTAGAACGACATTTCGGCCTCGTACTTTGCCACAGCGTCGGCTTCTGCGAGATATTTAAAAGCGTATTTTTACATTTTCAAACATACGGACTTAGAGTAGGAAGATGATATTACAATATATTAATTATACGTTTATAGTATAGTACTATTAAGTGGAATTTAGAAAAACGACGGAGACCTCTCTGAGCTTTCTGAACAGCTTCCTTAGCAAGTCTGGCTTTCTCGTAAATTTTCATCCTTCTTTGCTCCTCGGGGCTCATTTGTGTAACTGGTATACAGAAACTACAATAGAAATTATCGGAGCTCCATTATGTAGAATAAGAAATCTGTCCGATGTCTACATTCATTATTATGGAAAAATATCCATATAATTTTATACAGTATGCCAATCAACAATTGATTAATTATATTCATAAGGACTGTAAAGCGTACTCATGGGGTTCTTCATTTTGCACTCGTTCAAGTTCCGTGATTAACATTTTGTAAAGCTGTGGACAATTCGCCCCGAACATGAGGTTCACCATTTGACCTCCCTGCGACATAAAATGTTAATAAGAACTCCGCTTAAAATAAGTATCGATTTTAGTTACATGAATTGCATTGTTTATGTAGTCATTTCATCACTCACGTGAATGAACATCCACGTAGGTTCGCTGTTGCCTCGAAATCGTTCTAGGTCGCTGATATTGTCGCTTTTGGCCTTGAGTAGAGCATTCCGGCGTGGTCAGACAGAAAGAAATAGAATTACACTTCCGTTTAAGAATACATTTAAGTGGAAATAATTTATCGAGACTTCCTAGGGCCCGGTAATAATTATTTTATTACAATAGCGTAGCTTAAGGTGTCGCCGCCGATTTCCATTTTGACTTTCTTCAGCACGCTCACCATCGCCGTGCATGGACCGCTCCATTCCGAGTACACGTCTACCACTTGGAAAGAATTTTTCAGATTTATTATTTAACATTATTTTGATATCCTTAAATTTTACCTAACAAGCCACTTCGTTCCAGAACTTTGTGCCACTCTTCGTCATTTCCTACTTCCGTCTGCAGGGCAGCCGGTGCGACCCTTTTCGTCATTTTCCGCGTCGCGACGCCCTGAAGAATTAATGGAAAAATTAAATACCGATTTCTTTTGCTTGGAAATTAATCTGAATGGTAATGAATCGATCTCTTTACTAGTTAGGGCAATTTTTGCACATGAAGAACAATTTTTGCATCATGCAGAAATAAAAATTTTCAATTCCTATTCCTATCTATACTATCTTCTTTCCGGGTGCGGAAACTTTCTACAGACTCTTTATGGTTTATATTCCATTATGAATTCCCGAAAAATCAATTTAATTTCCGAGACATACTCTCTTACGGCGCAACATTTTGCGTGTATTTCCCGAAGAGAAGTGGCAAGAAGTCGCGATAATGCCGGGAGAAAGTCACTCTGAATAATGATAAATAATTCTGAAGAATTCTGTTAGACTTCTCCCTTCGAGTCTCGGAGCGACACTGGCGAGGGTCGTCGAGGATTCCCTGAGCTTAGATTTCGGCATAGCTTGTTATAACTTATACGAGGACTTCGGTGACATTGAGAGCACGCGAGGCTTTACAGGAGAACCTTAACTAGAGACACGAATATCACGAGAAATAATTACGGCCGGGGTAAGAGGCCGTGTGGAAATGTCACAAAACGGCTCCGAAATCGAGGCACACATTTTAGACCTCAACTTGAAATTAAAATATGAAAGGGTCATTCTATACATTATAGATAAGGAAGAACGTGGTGCTTATGAAATTTCATTAAAAATGAAACTCGATTCGGTGAGCTGGAGAAAAGTTTTATAAATATTTTCACGTTTTATATATATACAATGAGCCTTTCGTATCACCTTAATTGGGCTCGCGTGACGCGGGATTTATTGTTTCATATGCCACCGAATCATGATTTAAGAAATCGTTAGGTCGCATGCAATTAACTACCACATAGAACGCGTTTTCAAGCATGCGTGTTATCACCACATCCTGGACTTCGGGCTGAAACGTCCCTTCGGTTGTTAAATGAAATATGTCTCGACGTCCGACAGGAAAATGTCAAAGTTTCGTGCATTGCGTGGAAGAAGTCGTGCATGTGAAACACGTGCAAAAAGGAGAAAAAGAAAAAGGAGAAAGAGGGATACAATTTTCATTGAAGGATTTATTCTCTACCGAGGTCGTATACTTTCTGCCTGTAATTTTGTTTTATTACGGAGGAGTACATCATTGCGTCCTATTTTTGAGAGAGTGGACGTTTACGAGGAAAGAAGCAAGGCTTATATTTTTAGGGAGCGATTTCGGTTCGATTAAATTCCCGATAGCATCGGGATAAGTAGAGAATAATGTTAAGGGACATTACCGAGCACTATAATTGGAGTTCCGTTTCTACTTTTCCAATCGGTCCTGAATCGTCCGTGGAAATTGCGGGTGGATCGACTAGGATACTTTTCTGGAGGCCATGGACACTTGCCGAATATGCCCAGTGAACGGTAATGACGAATTTATTATTCAGGAGAAACACTGGTCGGTTGCTAGGGAGACGGCGTCCTTAGCAACCGCGGAAAATCGAATAAGAATGGACGTACCCCTGAGAGTTGAGCGTTTTTTAACCGGGCTAAGCATTCGTTTCGAGTTCAAAACATTCTGAAATAATCTCATAAACGTTAAAGGCAGATTTGCAATGTTTGGATCCATTTAATAAATTAATTCTCCGGAGGTGTTTGTAGTATGATAAATTGTGTATATCTATTTCCGACGTTTTCGACGCCTCTTCATTCTCTCTCTTCCTAGATCACAACTCGGATAAAGAGAGGCGCAATCGGCATTTCCGATACCCAGAATCGTGGCTTTCAGGGAATCCAAAATGGCGGACCACTTCGATTTCCTCGTCACTCTGCCCGATACCCAGCTCATCCCCAGACTGTAAAGTACAAATTTTACCTTATCAAATTATCAGGTCGTGTCATTGAATCACGAGGAAATTTCCTGAAATTAAGCTTACCTCCACACGGGGACCCAAATTTTTCTGCCTCCTCCGATCTCCCTCGAGTGTCTGTTATCTTCGCACAGAATCCTTCTTAAACAATTCCCATTGTCGTGTTCGGCCACCATGGCGGCCTCGATAGATCGCAAAACTCGGTGAGAAAGTTCATTCAGCTCCTCGTTTCCGGAATAAAATAGAGGTGGAGAAGATACGTGTCTTTTGAAACGAGTACCGTCTATGTCGGCTTGGACGATAGCAGCAGCTGCAGTCATTGTTGCCGCATTCTGAATAAAAATGGCAAATCCTAATTAAACTCGACGAAGCGATAGCCAGGAATGAGTGAGGGCGAAGTTTTACTCTAATCGCGATGTAGACGGAAAAAAAATATTTTTTGGGATTATTATAAAAGTAGAAAAGTAAAAAAAAGGACTGTTACTGTGACGTTCATCAGCAGCTGGATGACGAAGAGTCCAAACGCGAGGAAAGCCAAGGCGGTCAATGCGATCTCGAAGAAGTCCTTTATCGACAGGTCCCCGCCTTTCCCTTTGCCGTGATAAGAAGGCCTATCATTCCCGTGGTCGGAGTAATAGTACTCTTCGTGAATGGCTGGAGGAAAATATTCATGTGGGGGGTCGTATGGACCGCCACTTTGGTATCCGTGTCCTGAACTCGCCGAAATTGGAGGATCTGTGATAACGAATTGGAGATGATTTTTATACCGAGTAAATTTACATGAAAACCTTGTAAATTATCTCGAGTGGGGGGAACGAAAGGGCATCTAATTTCTATTACCATCGAATGATTCGTAATGATGTCCGATTTTTCCACTTGGTAAAGGCGCCGGCATCGCAAATCCAGTAACTTCCCCATCGAATTCATCGATTTCGGTGCCATCCAGTCGATCCAATTTCCCTTTCTTCTTCGTTTTCTTGCGCGGTGCATAATGACGGTAGATGTCATCAAGCGTCGTCGACCTGGAAAAAAAGGATATTCTCGAATATTCATTTAATTTGATGAACCAGAAATTCAAAGCTTCTCATACTTATGCAGCCAGTCTTTGTATTTCGAACTCCCCTCGTCTGACAAGAGTTTGTCATGGACGGTCACGTTATTTTCACCCAAGAAGTCATTTAATGATGCCGAGGAAATGTCAGGACCTCTCTTCACCCTCGAGGATCCGACTTCCTTGAAGATCTCTTCCGCCATGAATCCGTGGCATAAATACTCGTTCATTCTCTTTCTGAATGAAACACGTATAACATTCTTATTAATCCGCGGAGCTAATCGCTCGGAAATAAATCAAAACGATTTCCTTCTTTGAAAACCGATTGTATAAAACTAGAGATTACTTGAAAAAAAAAAAAATGACTAAATTAATTGTAGATTAATCGGGAGAAAAAATATTATCACCGGTGATAATCCATCTCGTAAAGTGCTTTGTTCATCGTCCCGTCCACTGTCACGTTGTCAACATTTTCAGGGTTCTTCTTTGATTCTTTATTATTAAGAAGTAGAAAAGAACCCGGCAGCAGATCGACCGACAAAATGTCGTCTTCATCGATGCAAAAGTCATTCCCATCGTAGAAGCACTCTTGGCCGGATGTCACGTAGACGCTTACGAGGTAGAGTAAAATTGTTAATAACATTTTCAATTTAACGAACGGGGATCTCAGAGTATTTTTAAGGAAAGAGACACTTTCTGAAGAAGGAACACTCGTATAGCCGAACGACACTAATCCCGTTGTGACACCGTGGATAATGCGACGACACGCTCGTGAATGTGATAATTTGTCCATCTACCAGAAATAATTGCAGTAACTGTAAGGATTCTTAGACCCCATTCCCGGATACGTAATTATCACGTATTTAGGACGCTTCAATTATAAAAAAAATCCTGCAACGTTCTCTTTTTACCTTGCTTGTTTTCGTCAAGACGTTTACTGGCTCATCGGTCGCTTTTTGCTACATAAAAAAATGTTAAAAAATAATCGAGAAGTATATTCGACATACATTATGACGCAGAAATTATCCAGGAAAATGGGAACTTGCCGTGGCATTAATTGAACCGAGTTTGCCACAAAAAAAAAGCAAACATCTGCCGTTGTCATACCGCGAAGAGATTATCCAGTTTAGCAGAACTCATTTACGTGGTTAAATTTCCTCGGAGTAGTTAATACCATTTACTCCAGCTGTTTACTCGCCAGCTGGTACGGCAATTACTGCGTTAATTGAAACGGTCCCGGTGTTATCGAGATAAAAAATGACCTGGTATTTTTACGTGTGCCTGTGCAATGACAATTGATACGAGTTAAATAATTATTCTTTGAACGAACGTAACATGTCTCTGGTTCAATGAATTTTTTCTTTTTTTTTCTCAGTGTAGGAATTGACTTTTAGTCATAATTCGGATTCGGCCATATGTATGTACTTAGGTACGTCTCAATTGGTAATCCCTGGAGTCTAGTGACATGATACGATTTACGCGTAATCCGACCCTGCCGATTAAATACGGGTTTATTAAAAACCACTTACACCACTCTTATGAATGTTTTAGGGCGAGGGTCGATTCGTTGCAGCGGGGCATCCCTCGGGAGTGGTAAGACGAGGTAATGGGGGCTTTGTTCCCCTGGGAACTGGCTCACCTGTCTAATATCTCGCGAGAGTGGCTATATATTTATACACCTATAGCTGCCAGTTACACATCGGCTTGAAAATTAATCGCCCATAGTTCGCAGGGAATTCGCAGACGTCCCGGTGGAACTGCCGGGACCTGGAAAATCATTTGTCTTGTCATTTTCCCTAGGAAATTCATTCCTGCGTCACGAAATAACGCGAATAAATGGACGGAAGTGTAGAGATTGAATAAAAAGAAAATCTTCCCTTTCCAGTCCTCCCGGTAATACGAAAAAAGCCGATCCAGTAATATCAGCAAGATCCAATAATTAATACATTAATGCATCAGTTATGATTTTAGAGGAGCACTCTTTTATCTGGATAATGGATGGTGGAGGTTTTTATGAAAGATTAATTGACTAGTACAGTGGCATCGGTGATGTATAATAATTAATGTATTAATTTTAACTGTTTGTTAATGATGATTGTTGGGAAGTAACCTTTTACCTGGACACGTCATGAGCAATTTCAAGAGCACGAGCAAGCACTTCCGATTCGAGCATGAATTCATGCTCGCCTCTTCGAGGGTGATTGATCGGTTCAATTATATCCCCGTGTATGCAACGATTGCGAGAATCATTATAAATATCTTCTACATCTTGTCGTCATAACTTGTGAAAATGCAGAAGTTTGGCCTTCATTCGAAGTAACTGCGAAATAATCACACCTCTTGCAGAAATAATAAAATAATATGTACAGCACCGATATATGTATGAATAATAAAACGATACCTGTACAATATCGACGCCTGTATAAATAATAAATAATACCGGCATAAAATATCAAGACACCCGTGTAAATAATAAAACGTTCAATACCAGTCGCACCTTAGAAGTGCTGAAAGGAGGGAAGAAGAAGCTCTCTTTGAAAGGCTTTGAAAGGCCCCGAAGTGAAGGATATTAAAGCAGTGTTTCGCGGTGGTTTTTCACCTCGTTTTTGTGGCATGAATAGTGGAAACGCGTTTATCCGTTTCCAGGGATTCCTGGAGGAGGGATCGGTCGGTTATTCGGGACAGGGGTTCCCGAGGGCGTTCACTGGGAAGCAGACATGCGCCTTGTGGACCAATCGCAGATCTTCAGCATTCACCCCGGGTCCCTTTTTCTCGAATATCGAGTGTTTCCTCTCTCGCGCACACTTTTCACACACCTAAACTAGATGGACGTTAAAAAATGGTATAATGCAAGGATCCTTCCTCGATACGTTGTATTAAAAAATCAACATCGATATGCTGCATTAAAAGAATATTGTTGTAAGTCGAATTTACCAGTACATGGAAGTTTTCAGAAAAATTGTCAGTGATCTTTCCGCTCAAGATAATGCGACATGGTAGCTGAAATTAAATGTCAATTAAATTTTCATATTTATTGCGCAGGTGAATGAACATGAAATGATGAATACCGAGATTTATTTCGTTTGGGGTATATAGGAAAATCTGAATGCGCGGAGCTCCAGGAAACGGGAGATAGGCGGGCACGAAGAGGCGCCTGAAGATCTTAGCGGCCACTCAGGGCCGCCATTACGACGCGGAAGACGGTCTTTCGGAGGAAGGTGGGCGAGGAGAAGAGGCTGGGGAAAAATGGAGAGGGACCAAGAGAAATGAACCGACCGCCCCGTGCGAAAGGTGCGAAAGCGTGTTACCTCGCACTTAACCGACTCTCGCCAATCATTCGCCCTTTCAGACCGCCAGATTGCGGCCATTGCTGGACCCATTATCATTGTCCACGTGATAGATAGCGCGTCCAAGAGGACCCTTCGCGACTGCGATTGTCTAATGAAATTCCCCCTCCAATTCTTCAAACACTTTTGGAAGGCAGAGATACCTTAGCCCCGTCAAACAATATCCGGAAGACGTAAGAAAGTGGTCTTAACAATTTTTATTTAATACCTTAAGGTGATATGAAAGTGTCATGTGTTCATACCAAAAAGTCAGAATATTTATAAAACTTTTTTCCAAATTATGAAGGCCTTCAGGAAGAACGCGGTGTTCGTGAAATTTCATTTTTCGAAAAAAAAATAAAAAAAGTGGTCGGCTTAATTACGGTAATTTACGTCGTTTACGTTCCTCGTTGACGGTGATTTATTCGCGTTTCCCGAGTCGCTCCCCTCGAAAGTCGCGGCCGAATCACGGAAACCGCCGATTAATCGAAGGCGTGCAATTAAAGAGCCGCAATCGAGGATCTAAGAGATATATAAGCACCGGCCCACGGCGGATCCTTGATTTCAAATGGCCGATTAGCGTGGTGCGATCGAAGTCGAACGCTCGCACGCAACTGGCTCCTTCGACGTATCAATTTTCCAGGTTTTCATCAACGTGCAGGAGAATTTTTACATGGTGCGCCGCTTCCACGATTCGAATTACGCGGCTCGGCCTGCAATCAGGCTCTTACTGCTCCGCGAAATTGTTAAAATGTCGTTAGCGAACCGAGGTATGCGTACCCGCGATGCTTATTACGGCGGAAAACCTAAGGACACCTCGTGGCCGGGTCTACGAGAGATGAGCATAAGAAATCAATTTTCACATTAGCCGGCTGTAAATAATCAAGAGAGCAGCCCGATTTCTCCTCGTGTCCCGCGAGATGAAAACGAGATTTTTCCCTCTCCTAGATTCTCCCGGGGGATTTATTTTTTCTTCTTTCCTCTAATAATTCTTGAGAAGAAAATTGGGTATGAATAGGAGCGTCCCCGAGATCCTAAGACATCGAATTAAAATATTTTTACGAATTTTTATAAACATTTCTAATGGTATAAATTGTGCGAGCCGGAGCGGCAGAAGGGGAACCGGCAAGTTTCACGAGAGTGGACCGAAGATGATCCGCGACGTAATGGGAGCATTGCGGTGTAAAAGCACGGTACACAGATCGGAGATGTGTACCGAGATGCGAGAGTAAACCCGTATGAATAGAGCCCACACTTTTGCCCCCTACTCCTATCGGATGACCCCAGGTGGGGATAAGGTGCGAGAAGTTGCTCCAACCTCGGAGGATGAACCTTCCCTCGGGAGCCCACTGGTGGGGATGCTGCGGGGTGGTCCAGCGGGACCACGGACACGTGCCACCTGTCATAGATTCGGAAGTACTTGCTTTCGTCAGGTATAGAGCAGATTAGTGGAAGATTAGACCGTCTCCGGAAGAAACCGCGAATTCCTCCCAAAGGACAGCTCTCAGTGAAAAAGAAAAAAAAAAGAAGAAAAAAGGAAAACCCCCATCCGTGGATTAATAAATCTCGTGAAAGTACGTCAACTAAAAAGTGTCCCTTTCGTTATGTAATAAATCTCGTTCGGTTAGAAGAAACGTCAGTGGGGGGATATAGTAAAAGTGTAGATTATTAAAGGAATAAAATCAAAAGCCAAATACCGAGAAGTGACTGTTCTTCCCTGGGCTTGTCGGAAAAATGAATCGCCTCTGATAAATCTCTTCTGCCGAAGGAGGACTTCTATTGCACGCGTCTAAAAGAATAATTTAAACGATTTAAAGAAATTAAATAAAATTCTCTCGAAAGGACTTCCCTTCCAATGTGCTGATACAAGGCCTCGTGAAATGGTACGGGGTTGCTCTGGATGCTGAACTTTATTTTCTATTTTTTTTCTTCAAAATCGGGGAAAATGTACCTCGAGGATCGGAGGATCCTTTAACGGGTAGTAAGGTCGAAAACGAACCTGATGACTTTGGGCAAGATGGAGCTGTGGACGGAGCGTGAAAAGGTGCAGCAAGTGGGACCGGCGAACGACGTAGAAGATCCTGAAGAAGTCCACGAGGTGACGTTCGACCCGATGAAGTCTTCTCGAGGAAACGTCGACTACGGATCGGACTCGAGCAGCGAGAGCTGCAAGGAGTTTCGGAAGCTGCAGAACGACGGGAAGGACTCCTTGCAGAGCGTTGCATCGAGTGCATTCTCGATAGACAGTATTCTGGGGAGACCCGTGAGGAGGGACGACGAAAAGCACGCAGAAAGAGGGACCGAGAGGGAAGAAGAGACCGAGGAGAGGGACTCCAGGGATGGCAGGATGCATTTCGTCAGACCCACTGCCATCCCGGCGCATCCTGGTGCGTTCTCTTGCATTATGTATCTTGAATATTCAAAATGAGATGCATTGATGGTTATGTGATTTTTGGACATTGACAATGATAATTACGAACGCGAAAGTCAGAAATGTAGAAAAATTAATTTATTCCATATTTTGCGTGGCTTATATATAAATTATAGTAATGTGCGTATTTCTTAACAAGAGAACGACTTAGCCTATGTTCTTAATTACGGGCGTGATTATTCATCTCGAATTATTCTCGGTAATAAATTTTTCTTAAATTAAATGATATAGTGTCGGTTACCGGCTCTGTAAAATAAGCGGTACAATTTTTTCACCGTTCCTAATGTAATAAGCAATATTCCTAACGTGTAAAAAATTAATTTCTAGGCGCCAGCAGCGGCTTGTATGCAGCCGCTGAATTTCCCTATCCCGAAGGAGTCCTGCCAGATCCTGCAGGATACTCTGCAGCATCCTTGGCATCAGCGTCGCTTCTTTACAGCAGTTGGTTCGCGCAGTCGAAATCTGGTCAACTTTTTGGTCTCCAAGGTAATTAATAGAAAATTTCATTTTATTTCGACATATCTTAAAAGCCAATCCGAAAATTCACTGGACCGACTGAAAACCACAATTAAGTTATTAATGAGACCTAACACCCCCTTGGGGTCTGAGAACAATACGAGGGGTAAGTTCTCGATTTTCCTTCAGGTTGAAACGAATATTGGATATTACGAGAGGCGCCTCCGGTAACAGCGTTTACGCACGCGAACTCCACATCAATGTCCGAGGTGTTACACCCCTCCTAGGCCCTTTAACGTAAACGTAAATGAAAAATGAAATTGCGATCCCCTCTAGGACTTCCCGTTTCCTTTCAGGCTCCCCTGCTACGTGGCGAAGCAATTTGCCAATTTATTTTCGGGAAATTCCCTTCAAATGAGCCTCCACCACCACCGGCGAAGAGACTCCTTCCCTAAGAAAGGACGCAACGCTCGTGAGATTTCATTTTTCAAAGGAAAATCATTTTATTTATTTCTTTTCTTTCGCCTGAAAAATGAAATCTCACGAGCATCGCCTCCGTCCTTAGGGCCTCAATAATCACGAAAAGGAAAAAGAAAGCAAAAAGGCTGGAAACTCTCTCGCTTCCTGTGCGCCTAGATGTTGGAAACGCATTTATCGAGACTCGTTGCTCTAACCACCTTCCCGAGAGGTGCTAAGTGTCTCTGCACCCTCGTAAATCTCGAACTCACCTGCCCTTTCCTGAACATCGTTCATCCCGTGCTTCACCCCCGCTTTGCCAGCTGTCATCTTCCTCTAAATTATGCCGCTTCACTTGGGAATGGTTTCCCCGGGAAGGAGCGATTCTACCACGTGCATCGAATCGATTTATCGCTTTCGGAAACGCCTGTCCGAACCTCGATTTGCACCTCTTCCTTCGACTTCATCCCTGGACCATAATGCGAATTCAGTAGCGTGTAATTAAATTGGGATAGACGAGATGGATGTCAAAGAACCTTCATGGTCTGTATTTATACATAAATCCATACTTTTACTGCCAAAAGACGTTTTTTTATTATTAGTCTTATATGGTTAAAAAACGCCTCATGTTGCTAAAAATGAGATATGAGTACGAGATTTGGAAAATATCTTTGCGCAGAGTGAGTGGATTTAAGTTCCCTATTTTTTGAAAAACCTGGAGCGACGGTGGCTGGGGGAAAAGAAGTCTGGTGACAAATCGAGTTCCCCAAGACGCACAAACACGTCCCCCGATTCCTCGTAGTCGGAGAGCATCGAAAGGGCCTCATAAAGACGCTAAAAACGTGGCCAAATATCGCGACATTCCTATTTGTCGACCTACGAGGCGAGACCTAACCATCTAACTAGACATTAAATACAGGGAAAAGGGAAGTTCCAGGTAAAATCCTGGGGAATTTTCGGAAGACCCTAAAATAAACGGGCTCCGGTTCTTAGAGCTGTCGGGACCAGCATCACACAAAAGAGAGAGAAGAAAAAGAGGAATAAATAAAAATAAAATGTCGGGTCAGTTACATAATTGAATGGTGATAAGACGGCGATAAGACGAGGAGGTGTCTGGTTCTCTGTCGGGATGAGTCGCTATATCGAAATAAAAAGTAAATCAATAAAGTAACGTAAATAGTAACGATTAAGGGAAGATAATTCATCGAGTCTATTGTAATGGAGCTGTTATCACTGCACATGTGACATATCGATTAAAGATTTGTCGGATCAGTTTTATGATTCTATCAGAGCTGGACAAGCCGAAATCGCGATCGATCCGATTAATCGATCCGGAAGGATTGCGCAATTTCGACGCGGTGATAAGAGGGGAGATTTCTAGTGATACCAGAACATGTGCAGTGCTTTGCATTGTTTTAGCAGTGTTTAAGGTGCATTACGACGACTCGCAAGCACGGCTGAGCGGAAATGTGTGGTCATTTTGACGAAGGGGTGATAATCGCGGGCAAACGTTTCGAGGTATAAAGCGTTTGTCCACTCTTCGCCACCTCCGGCTCGTATTGACACGAAGATGTCACTCGTTCCTCAAATAGTCACCGCGGATATTTGGTAACTCCTCGTGTTTGTACGGTTACGACGTTTAATGCGAGGCTTGGGAAAGTGGTAATCGAGTACAAGCCGGCCAGGTTTGTCGAGCCATTAAGCGGGGTGATTATAATGTTAAATTTTCATTAGCGCCGCCGTAAATCTCCCACAGTCGGCCGTTTCTGGCGGACAACTTTTTCCTCGAGAATTTTTACAGAATAACTGGATTTGTCGCATACCGATTTCCTATCTCCCTAGAAACGAGAAATATCAATGGTAAAATATAGTAAATTGAAATTCTAGAAATATTACATATGTAATACTCCTATAAAAAAGCTTCACTTATGCATATCTGATAACCAGATATATCATACTCTTCATCCTACCCTAAACAATATTAGTTTCTGATTAGCACGATATTTTTACGAGTTGTAATTTATCATTCGATAACTTTTCGTTAACCTGAAGCGTGATTTATTTCTCAGCACCAAAGCCGAGCGGAAGGAGGTCGAGGAAGCCAGGAATCGACCGGAAACCACGTCAAGCTTACAGTGCAAAACAGCTGGAACGATTGGAGGCGGAATTCAAGGTTGGAAATCCACGTCTTCCTGTAGAAAAAAAAAAACTTAAAAAACGTATAAATACAATAACTAAAAAAAATTCATTTCGGAGTAACTTGCGAGTCGCTTTCAGGTGGACAAGTACCTCAGCGTCAGCAAGAGGATGGAGCTCTCGAAGTCGCTGAATCTGACGGAAGTGCAGATCAAGACGTGGTTCCAGAATCGCAGGACCAAGTGGAAGAAACAGCTGACTTCTCGTCTGAAGATCGCCCAGAGACAGGGTCTCTTTTCACCGTCGTATTTTCCACCCACGCAGTACCCTCTGTTACCCTATTATGCGACGCCCCTCGTGTTCGGCGCCCCGACGTCAGATGACACTGCTCAGGGCGTCGCGACGCTCTCCCCGAGGACTACGGTATCATCGCCCGATAACGTCTGAAAAGTTACCCCTAACTTTTCCTGAGGTTCCTTTGGCTATCCGTACCGACAGAGTGCAATATCCGAGGGGCTATTCGCTTGGAAATCAATGAAATCGATTTCCTTCCGTAGAACCGATTGTCTTTGTTTTCGGACGATTTGTGCACGAATTTTATTTGTGATCGAAATTTAATTGATCCCGTTGCAATTGGAACAAATCGAATTTTTTTTTTTAAAAGGCTGTCTAAGGCGGTTTAAGGAGCAGTCTCCACCGGTAGAGTAAAATATTAATAATTTAGGAGTTTCATCGTTAAAGTGGATTTTTCATAAATTATTGTATACAGCCTTTATCATCTAATTTGATACAGATTGAGATAGCTCAATCTAGGCTATCTAGGAGGAATCAATAATGAGCTCTCAACAAAGGAAGTTTCTTGATCGAAGGAAGCGTCTAAGATTAAAGTTTCGAGTACCATTCTTGTGGTACTCAAGTATTGTTACCAATTGTTCGATTTTAATTGCTATCCGGAAGGGAAGGACAAGTCCATTAGAACGAATCAAAGGATGACCGAATGAAGTAGAAGAAGGTCTTGATAAATACCGTTTATCGTAACAATTGTACCGCAAACATTCTCCAAACTTTCGCTTTGTACATACAACACCCTGTGACCTATCTCTAGACTTCTATTAATAATTAATTAACCGTGCCTAGATTCACAGAAGCGTCATGTGGTAGATTTACGAAAATAGCTATACACGAGGAAACGTGTGTTACACCTTAATACGAAAGTGTCTGTACATAAAGATAACGACGATAACGAATAAATACGTATTTACACATGTACATACGCGCCACTCGTGCGAATACAACGACACATCTGACAAAATCACTCCCTAGGCGATAAACAGCGCAATACAATACATAATTAATCCGATAGATCCGTAAAATGAAACTAACCCTAACATCCGAAAGTCGCGGACAAAATGTCTATCTAAAAATATAACGATTCTCGCATCCTGCCGTTATTAAAATACTCAGTCTAGATCCTCGAGCCTAAGGAACTGATTAGAAAAAAAAAAAAACGGGGGGGGAAGGGAAAGAGAAAGAAAATAAATCTCACAGAGATTTTTCACTACCTCAAGAGTTACGATCCTACGACGGTCGTTTTTGTACATTGCCTTGCAATTACAATTATCCGAAGCTGATAACATCATTCAATCCAGAGTCTCCTTGCCGGTCTTCGGTAGGAAGAAACAGAGGAGACTGCATGCTGGAAGTAATGCAGGAAAATATTATAATTCATAATAATCCTTGATAATTCTCAGGGTAGGAATTTTTTTTATGGAACAGGAGATAGTTATTTGTTAATCGGCGCCGATTATATTTACTTACCAAATAGGAATGCACTGAATAAAACGATCGGAACCACGCAAGCCAGATCGATCAGATATCCGAAGACCAAATTCCCTACAAGAGCACCCAGCCTTCCCATGGTGAGAGACAGGGCGGCCGCCATTACCCTGTAATCACAGTAATTAATTGATAAGACTAATTTTTGCATACGTAGGAGTCATATTGTAAAAATCGGCTTTTTGTAAAAGGCCTAGCCGTTTGATAAAAAATGTGTAACGTATGACGTATTGCCTTTCTCATGGGGTCCGAATTCATGAGCTCACGAGTCATATATTTATGAATAACGTCCGCAACTGAAGGAACATTACGCTTTAAGAATGTCACACATGGCTTCGTACAAGTTCATCATGACTTCGGTTATCCCGGGCTTCCTTCGACCGACCTTCGACGTCGTTTTACAAAGCTTGTTAGCTTCCAGAGTGTGCCGAATGGATGGAAACTAATCAGGGAATTTTTATACGAATATTCCTCCTTCCAACAATGAGTACCTACTCGACCGGAGCTCAAAATCTCGAGTCTTTACGAATTTCGTTAGGTATTCCTCATATATCCTCCAGGATATATTTTAGGTGAAACTTATGATATAATTAATCCATGTAAGTACCTACGTTACGAAAAAGGGCTTGGAATCATTTTTAACACTCACCTAAGATTCGTCGGGAACATGTCGACGATTACACAGTATACTAGAGAGATGCAGAGAGACGTAAGAGCTTCGAAGATGCAGGAGAGGACCAGATTTTGGACAGAGTTCACCACGTAATAAAAACCGATCGTCACTGCACCGGAGACCATCAACGAGACGACTGGTAAAATTAAACATCGCATTAAAAACGTGCATTTTTAATTTCATTGGGCACCGAGTGACGCAAATGAGAAGAAACTCACTCAAAAAAAACTTTGCTCCTAGCCTGTGAATAAATAAGGGGAGAATGATCGATCCAGGCAGACAAGCAAGTCCTATGTAAACCGTGTGAAGGAACACCGAAGGTGCAATCGTCGTTTCACATCCATAAGGATCGATATTTGTTGAATTTTCCGGCAAGGTAGAAGCGATGCATACGGAAATTGTCTCCCCGTAATTGTTCCTCTCGAATTCCTCGAATCTGAAATGTTAAACCTTCGATTACGGAGGCCATTGGACATATGGGCGAAATTCATGAGTACGTGCAGACAATATTGGACCAAACGTCGGACGCCTTTCGGAGGCAAAAGGTTAATGACGTTAAACAATGTAAATCGTCATATTCGGCGTCGTTAAGCCTAGTGATGAAGATAAATATGAATATAAAGAAATACCTGGTGAACAGTTCGGGGAACCACACCATGAGAGTGTAATAACTGCTGGTCAATCCAAATTGGATAGCACAGGCCAGGATGGTGTTTCTAAGATGTGGAGGCTTGCATAAGGCTATGGTTAAGTCCTTCACCTCCGAGAAAAGGACTTTAAGGTCCTTCCTCTTGTGCAGCTTCAACGACCTGGTGTCCTTAGAGGATGACTTCTCCTGCAGGGACTTCACCTGAGAGGAAGTCAGAAAAGATGTATCTTAGGGTACCAAAAGAATTAATAAGACATTCAAGAATTAATTATGGCCCTCCAGTTCTATGAAACGTTTAATGAACAAGACCTCTTAGACGTCAGTTTGGTATCACCTTAAATATGTTTAATTTCAAACTTATGGCCAGTCCGATAAAATGAGATTTAAATGGCACGTAGCACCTACAGGATATGTTTCGGGGTCGTTTCCGGTATTTTGGGAGTAGATCCACTTGAAAACCTCGAGGGCAGCTTCGGTATCGCCGCATTCCAGCAGGAATTTCGGGCTTTCCGGAAACCCGAAGAGCCAGAGGCCAAGAGTCAGAGAAGGAAGAGCACAGAGAGCCACGAAGAGGTTCCACGACTTGAAGCGAAATGTGTCGGACTCGTAAAGAAGGTCCAAGGGGACGATTACCCAGGCGATGACTGAAAGAAGATAAATACTTAAATACACCGAGAAAAATATTCCCTTGGCAGAAAAAAATTGATTTCTTTAAATAACGCTCATTCGGATAAATTAACAATGTTTTCACATCGACATTGCGTCAAAGTTTAATATCCGGAATTTTTGAGCGATCGTATTTCCTTGATTTTAGACAACAGTTTCTTTAACTCCATTCAAAGAAATAATTTACATCGAATAAAAATATTTTTCCTCGGGGTAGATGCCCCTAATAGATTATAAAATGCTGACAAAATGTGAAAACGTACGAGGCAGTACAATTACTCCGATGGTCCAGAACATCTCCATCCAGCAAAGGATCTTCTCTCGGTGTTTTGTGGGCTGAAACTCACCGAGGTATGGGAAACAAATTCCCATGGCTCCCGTCACCCTGCAACATTGTTGGAAACTGTTAGATTAAGATCCACCTCCCTTTTTAACAGGGTACTTACGCAAATCCGCTGAGAAATCGAAAACCCAGGAAGACCCAGAAATACTGGACGAAGGAGGAGATAATGCCGACCACACCGTCCATTAAAAGTGTGGCGATTAACACGACTTTTCGACCCTTCGTGTCGGCAAGACATCCCCAGAAGTAGGACCCGATCACCATTCCTATACGGAAATGTATAAAAAAAAATGCGTTATTAAGAAATGTTGAAAAAAAAAAATAGGGTAATCGGACATCGCGTGTCAATAATTTGCACAGAGTGGAGGCGATCCGATGGAATTGATATTCATCTCGAGGCGTTTCGCCCTGCAAAGATAGTAAATCTCATAAGAGGATCTTCCTATGGCCTCCTACTATTCCTGGTCTCTCGTCGATCGATATCCTCTATTATACACGGTGTAAGAAGATGAAGGAGAGATCGTAAATCGGGATTCGAGAGCAAATAATTACCTTGTTTTGCAATTATCAGGAAATAGTTGACATAGTTTCGTACAATAGTCGGAATTCAGGGCGTAGGTACGATGTCGGGATATTCCGTAAATATAATAAGCCGAAAATTAGAGAAAAATTGAGTCATGTCATAAATTGTACATAAAAAATATAAATGTCTCTTTAAAAAAGGGGCTCACATGATTTTTTTTCCTTTCCCATTGTTATTAATCACGAGGACCTACGTGGGAATATGGCAAAGTGTCAGATTGAATGTGCAGAGTGCAGATTTATGATATGTTGATGTTGGATGAAATTGATATTGGACAAATGTTTTAATACCCAGCATGGGAGCCGCTGACAGCCAGCCTTTCGCAGTGGAGTCCATTTTTAAATCGCATTGTGCCGCTGGCAGGACAAATGACAGAATGGTCACGCCAATTGCAGTGTCCATGTAGATCAAACCAGTAATTGCCAGCAACATGTAGTGAAACTTTCCAAACCCTGAAATAAAATGAGCCAATAAATACTTTGCTACACATCCATTGACTTATCATTTATTGGGAAGGATGAGCAATCAACGTGTCCGACGAACTCAATCGACGTCACTTGAAAATATTAATAAAAAAAAGAAAAGAAATTGAAAAAGAGCGATCAATGTGTGCGATCTACTCGATCGATGTCACTTGAAAATGTGAATAAAAAAAATGAAGACTTGTATTTACGTATAGAATTAGGCTTATTTTCTAGATGTAGGTGAAGAGAGATTAAGGTACCGAATTTCCCTAATTCTTGAGATGCGTTTTATATAAGGAAGGATTTTCTTTTTAAACGGAAATGTTACATCTTTTTTCCTAAGAGTTGCTCGTTCCTCTTTGAATGTTCCAGAGTGGCGGCAGTCGATGGTAATAGGCTTTGGGATCGAATCGAAGACAATTGCAATTGAAGGTCGCCATTAGCACGGATTTAATCTACGAAGTCTGGAATGTGTCTGAATCGATCCCGAGTAAACAGAAGGTTGGACGTGCCAAAGATTTCCTCGGGTGACTAACCGTGTTGGGAAATCTGGTCAACTTTGCCAGCCAAATTGACTGCGTAGTCTGACAATTAATACTCCAATGAGAACGATCCGAGAATTCTTATGAGTCGGTGAATTTGTCCGCCACGGGTTCTTCGCGAACAATAATTCCAATATCCGCGAATTGATAATTGTAATCTCGGGATGAAAGATTTATAAAGAATATTAATTCCTGTAAAAATAATGAGAACAATCCAAGAGACTTTGTAAGGCCGTCGCGAGTTTTTCGCGGACAATAATTGCACTCTTCGTGAACTGATAACTCTAATCTCAGGGCAGGTAGATATGTAAAAATATTTCCTTTCACTTTTCTTTCCGACACTCGACCGGCACCGCGTTATCAAAATCACGATACGTGAAGCTCGTTATCACTAGTTAATGAAGGATAGCATGTACCTTTATGCGTATCTCCTCATCTTGTTTAACACGTGTACCGATTATCGATATCGGTGACAATTAAATGCTTAAATTAAAGCACTCCAATTTCCCGATCATACGATCCATTCAATGGAGTCTAATTATCATAATCACGATTATCATTGTTATTTAACAAAAAAACTTACCAGTCATCGTCATCGCGTGTTCAAAGTCGGCGCCAGCATCCTCCAGAAAGTCGAGTCCTGGAAAACCAGAAATCAAAATGAACATTCATTGAAATATTCCGAGGTACCAGAAAAGATAATTTGAAAAATGATCCCTAAGCTGCAATTTAATTATTTCCCGCGCTTCCGAAAATTCAGCAAGCTCGGCGATAATTATTTATCCGCTCTCTATTAAACGTGACAATGTGCTCGAGGAGGAAAAATATAAGAAAGAAAAACGAGATGTCTCTTACCCATTTTGAAAAATCAGTAAAAATCGACGTCGAAATCGTTTGCGATGAAGGTTCCTCAGGTGCCAGCGAAAATGTTGGTCGAGGTCCTGCCCCTGGTCGCAGGAGTAAAACAATGCCCGGTTCGAGTGCGTGTTCCCTGTTTTTGTCTTTGGCCACGGCTGCTCCCTTTGCTCATTGGTGAACACCGGGTATCTGATCGTCGTTTTATCGCAGCAGGGAATTTATGATTCCTAGCTTCGGAGAGCCTCGAGTCGCTCCTGATGGCCGCAGCTCGCGATTCTCCCGCAGCTCCTCTCGATAAATCGGCCGGTTCCAACTGAAGCTGCGATCGGAAATGCCGGTTTTATTTATAACATGGCGAGCCCAACCGCGCGACATGGTCACTCCAAAACCTAACTAGATTCCCCAGTGATAACGGAAGGATTCCCTGCGTTACATAATGATAAGATTGCGCCCCTGGCCGGTCCGCTTAGCCCGAACTTTCCTCGACCTGTGGCTTGGGCTAGCTTTCAAATCCTAGATTTTCCCTCTTTCGAAATGAAATGAAGATTTAAAAGGAAAACACACAAATGATATTTCAAGGATAAGGTAAAAGCTTAAAGGAAATTCGGATAAAAAGGGACCATCTGTGCCTCCTCCATATCACACGGGATGGAAAATACTGATAATAGAAGACTCGCCCACTTAGTTACCTATTTCTTGTGACTTGTTTATAATAAAAGGGGGAATTTCAACATAAGAAATCTCGAGTTAACAAAAGTATTTCAACGAATTATGAAAAATCTTTGAGATTTCAAGTCGCGTAAAAATGGGGCAAGGGATTTTTTTGTATAGAAAAATTATGCGGAATTTTGTGGTTAGGCTAGAATTTATTTCGAGGGCTTTTTGAGCGATATTTTTCAGGTGAGATTTTTCGAAAAATCGAAGAAGTCGTGGATCATTCGAGATCGGTTTGATAAGCACTTCTGGGACGATAATCCAGCGTCTGGAACCCTCTGATATCACCATGAAGAGGGAGGGGAATCTCTAGATCTGATTTTTAGAGTCTAAAGGACGCACACGTTACTGATAAGGATTTAGAGATATTTGGTAACTATTTGGAATGATGCTCCGAATTATTTTTTAAGAGCCTCATGTTCTGGTAGGTTTTCTCCAGCTCGTACCGATTGTCAAGAATGAATCAGAGGGTCGCGATGCTAAACAACAGGGCAACATCCTTGTGATATCAGCTCGACAAGGCTATAGACATCTAATCAACAGGTAGCAATCTAGTCTTTGAGTCAATATTTTCATTAGAAAGCAGGTTCATTGATGACCAATCTCTTAAAAAGTCGGAAATACGACCGCAACCCTTCCATAATTAAAATACAAAATTTCTGTAAAATTGTTGGTGACAATAATTATAAAAATAAAATATTTCTCATATTTGACAACATGTAAATTTGACAACTCGCCGGGAGTACCTGTAACTTATTGTCAACTCTTATCAGTTCATGAATTTATCACTCCACGCAGATTTTCCCCGAGAACTTTTTTCGACTTGCAATGAATCAAAGGCGTTTATTTTTAGAGCTCTTATTATTCTTGTGATATCAGTCAAGGATGTTTTAATCAGCCATCGATGTTATGTAAAGATCGGTCCGATACTTTTACAGAGACTGAACGACGTATTGGGGTGAAACATGTGTCAGACAAAAAGCATTAATAATTAATCGTTAACAACTAAACGAGTGGAATATTCTGTGATAACAAAATGGCGTCGGAGAATATTTTGTTCCGGGAATTTTCTACATTGTGATATCGATCACGTGTCTGTGATCGATGTCGGGGAAATGATATTTCGAGTAATATTCCAATGTCCTCTATTAATCGTAGGGCCATAAATCTTTGGCATTATCAGTGGATTAAGGAGTAGCTAAAACGACTCGAATGTGTCGTGAGAAAATGTCTACGCAGAAACGCCACTTTATCGACTTAAAGACCCGGTAGAAAAACAGGGCTTAATGGATTTGCGAGAAAAATGACGGAGCGTCGTTGCTTTCAATTACGCCGGCCATTATGACGGACTCTTGTCCCAAATGTGACGTCCAAAAGATGACGCCACGTCTTGGCACCGAATTGCATCCTATCACAGGAGTGCCACGAGCCATTTAATTGGCAATTATTTCAAGTACCGTGGAAATCAAAAATCGAGTCTTTGCGAGGCATAAGTGCTGATAACCCGAAGTAGAGTCTCCTTGGAGTATCCGTAGATACCGCGGTTATCGAAAATAATTTGCCGCTTCTAGAGGGAAGCGTCGTTTGTTGTAAATCAGCCGGTAAACGAGGAGAGAATTACCCACTTAACCAAAATTATCTCGAAACAAGACTCGGTTATTTCTGTTTTCTCTCGGTAAACACGACAAGGTCCTAAGATCCTTCGACTCAGCTGGTTCCAACTAGTTCAAATTGGAGGCGAAAGTTGTTTCGGAGGATCCTAATATTTGCTAATCACGGTGCTAACTTTCCCGAGAGTTTGAGTTAGAATTTAGTTTAAACAAAAGAAAAAAATTCAGTCCTACAATACTAGTTACGTGCAAGTCGGTATAAAAGTATTTTCCAAGGATTCCAGTTTCCCCGTAGGTTTCGCTGGTTCTGGTTCGAACCAGGCAAAACTAGTTGAAGACTGTCCCGTCCCCATCTAATAATGGCCAGTCCAAACCAGAAATAACAGCGTTGACAGCGGCTAGCGGACGTGTCAATGAGTCAATAAGTCAATAAGCAAACGAGTCATCGGGCCAATGAGCGTCCGTTCTTTCTCAGCACTTTCCAGGGTAAAATGGCGGCGATAAAATCGCTCCTCGGGGTGGTGTAATTTTCCTAAGTCGTTTCCATCACGTGCCGCCGTCGCGACGCGTGCCAAGCGCGTCTCGTGCGCAAGCGTCGCTGTCAGAAAGGGGTGGCCGTCTGCCAAAAGTCGGCCCTGCGAAAATGCGTTTCCCCAAAGAGTCGCCATCGCCATGAAGAAGCTTCTTAGGGACTCACCGACGTCTTAGAGCGGAGTTTCTCGCCATAAAATGGCCGCACTTCCGGTCAGTCCTTCCGCTTGCACCTCGGATGGCCACGCTCGATTTTCTGCGAAGATCGGCACTGCGATGGCATAGCGGGCTGAGAACCTCTACCGACTATTTGCGACGCTCTTCAGACACTTCCGCTTCCTGGTCTGCCAAGTTCAAGGCCACTGTTCGAATCGGTTCACGGTCGCCATCGGTTCCAAATCTGACCCTGTCGAAGGAAACGGCGTTAATACTTAAATATCTTCCATGGGGAAAAATATTTCCTGCGAGGAAGAACGTCTTCGGCAGAGGCTTCACGCTCTGCGGCGTTGGAATTCTTGCAGATTTCAGTCCTCCCTTGAAATCGAGAGATTATGAAAACACCGATTTATCACGGGGGTATTATATCATCCCTTTCTGCCTTGTCTCGGTCATCAAAGGATGTTTAAATAAATTTAAAACTGCGTTACGGAGAATGGAGCAACGGGGCTCACAGGAAAAACAAGATGGCGGCCGCTTCACTCAAGGCTCGGGAACGTCGATCGACGTTCGGACGAATTTTTCACGTTGTTGATTAGAAGGGATCGACGTCTGTCCACTTTGTTATCGAAATGCGCGGCTTTGTTTATTCGGTTTACTTATTTCTTTCTTTATGCACACTCGGTTCACCAGGAAAGAGGAAGTGTTCGTCGGTGACGTCGAGATCGAGCGCGTTCCTCGGCGCGAACACCCGATTCCTCCTCGGCATCGGCGTAAATCGCGAATATGGGACAATGGCAAGGAAATGCGGCTACTCGAGGCCCCGAGCCGAGCCTTAATTAGAATGTCACCGAACGCAAGGACTATAACTGCAATCTCGGTGCCAAATCGACGACATATGTATATGTCGATCGTCTAAGCGACAGAAGGAACCAGAGGGACCAGAAGTGTTCCGTCCGCCAATCGAGAATGACTACGCGAGTCATGTCATCGTTCATGCAGTCCCTGAAAGTATGAAAAAAGAATAATTTCCGGCAAAATTAAAACGACAGTAAGAGGGATTAAAGATTAAAATTAAGGCACATTGAAAAAGGAGATATAATTTGAACTCGGAAATGAAAGAAATTGACAGTAGAAGAGACAAACACGGATTTAAATCGTAATCTCACTCGAGGATTGTAACTCCATCCCGAGGTGCACATTAATCTGCTAATAAATCGATCATTCGAAGCTTTTAATATCCCTGGAGGTCGAATCTGATGAATTAAAAGTTAACATCCGCCATTATCGATTTCGCCTTGTCTTAAAACGTGCCGAGATGAACTTTGAAGTCAATAAAGCGTTCAATAAACTCGATCTCGGAATGCTTAGCGGAAACGAAAAGCGTGCCGAAAACTGATCGATCATGCCGGCGATAGTCATCGATCGATAATATTCAGACGTTGACGGGATCTTCCGTCGTTTTCTCGAGTAGCGAAGGGTGTCGTCATCGGTGATCACCCAATCGATATCAGGGCCTTATCGATCCGTCACCGAGGGATATTGTTGGGTTTAAATTTACGCCATGCGAGCTTTGTCTTTATCGATCGATTATTGATACAAGCAGGTGTAATACGCGTTTATTAACGCGTCGGTTAATTTTCGTTTGACTGACTCGAGGATTAACCGGTGGTAACCAGACGTTTAACGTTGTTTCCTAAAAATAGGCCATGATAAGACCCGGAACGGATAAAACCGAGGAGTATTTTTGTAACCCTGGTCGATGCAATCGGAGACCACAATGAATATCCAGGAAAACACAAGTCTATCGGATCGTTTCTTAAGGCATCGACGAGAAGTCGATTGATTTTGAAGAGGCGAAGACCCATCTCAAGCTCGACGGATAAATGATTCGCGAATTAAATAACGAGATGCACGCTACCAAGTAGGTTTGGCTGAACAAACGACCGCCAAGGAGTCACAGAACTGAAAATATTACCAGCACACCAGATGTCATGGCCTTCTGCCAAATTCTCTGCATTTTGCATAGCCTATGACAGAGCCAATGGACGCCGTGTTTGCAAAGCGCGCAATTCGAGTTCGTTTTTTTACACCTTTCCCCTGCAGTTATTTTTGGGAGAAACGCACTTGCAAGGTATAGTGAAATGTCAGATTTGCAGGTAAGGTGTACAATAAAAATTTAATGTGCGTAATAATTGCACGTACTGCGAAAGTCGTTCTTTCGGGAGGAGCTACAAATTTCTGTGATTTCCACTAGAGCACCGAGCCACGGTAAAAATATGCAATTGTACTCAAAAAGTACATAACTATTTTTCACTCCTCGAAAAACCATTTCATTTCATTAATGGCGAGTCCTTGAGAGCTCTCGGCATTATCTGCGAGAGATAAGGAGCAGCTTTTATCAAGAGTTGGCGCCTGGCTTTTCACTTTTGAGGAGCATCTGTTGCCCGAGGAGGAAAGGAGGGAATTCCTATGAGAAATAAGTAATTTTCCTGAATCCCAGGTTTGCGTCGCTATTAGAGGAGACACTAAATCTCAGTCCTCGTTCGCTCCGAGCGATAAAATGCGGAGGAACGATGGTACCGTAAACTCTATTGGTTTCCTCCCATCGCGAAATAAAGTTTGCAAGCCGAGTTCCGTTTCCGGTGTATACGACCTCGCCCTGTATCCATACATCGGCACTGTTCCTCCTTTTTTGTCCCACCCGATAATTTTCAATTTCCCATGATTGCACCTAAGACGCAATCGTATCGAGATAAGCGATCGCGTTTACAGGAAATTGCGAACAAATTCCACGAACAATATTTTTCGCTCCACCTTTTGCCTGTTTACCTCTTCCATAAATGACGCCGTTTCCATGGCGACGCGATTTGATAGTTGTACGTAATTATGAAATACCAAAGAAATTTTTTTCTTTGGTAATATCCATCGGCGGAAAAATATTGTTCTAGTAGATATGACGCATTTTTGATACATTATGTCGAGGGAGTAGTTGTATACAATTTGGAACATTTTCCGATTAGGGATTGGAGGCAACGTCTGATAACAGGAGTGAATTTTCGTAAAGGGTAGCGCGGCGATTTCTATGGAAAACACCCCCGGAACCCCGCGGGCCATTTTATTCGAAATCGAATCACTTTGAAGGTCTACGCAGCCATCTAAATTGCAAATAAACCGATCCGATATTGTCCAACTAGGATCAACCCTGAGCCCAGAAATTGATCGCCCCAAGTTAGGACTTCATCTCGTTATCGAGCCTATCTGCAGCGCTGGAAAAGGGGAGCAAACCCGGTGTTCATCGTTTCACGTCGATTTTTCAGTTAACATTCAGTGCGACAAACAAAAAGACGCATTATATTTTTACCCTAAACCGGAAACCCCAATTTTATTACAAGGAATTTTTAATAAGGTATTTAAGAAAGAATTGAAGCGTTTGTTAGACCTTCCTAACACACTCGGAGAAAAAAGAGAAAAGGAAGTATTTGTCAATGGGACGTTTGCGCAAAGTTGATCAGTCGGTCATTAGAAAATGCAAATACAAGGAGCAAGTACAAATAAAAGTGAAAAAGGAGCGACCGCGGGTTTACTCTAAACACATTTGGACCACAAAGGCCGGAATTCTGTAAATCTCTAGCTAGATCTCTCTTCTAAATTCTCTGTATCCGAAATTAAGAGAGAAAAAATTCCATAGAAATTCTTCTTTCCTCTAGACTTAAAATTTCTCTATTTAGACTGAAACAGAGCGTTTCGCTCACGTGGGATATTTTTAATAACAATGAGATCGACGGTGAGATCGGAACGCGAGATTCGACGCCATTATCTCCTCTCCGGGTGAAAAGGACCTGAAAAGACATGTCAATGCAAAGTCGCACTATTGGCCGAGTCAGGTTTCCCCTACATGTAGGCCAATCGCGTGCTTTTGTGACAATTGTCAATGTACGTCGACTTTATTGAACGGATTCGGAGCATCAAAGCGAGGGAGATGCAAAACACCAAGTCGGTGATTCGTCGAGCGATTTTCTGAGAGAAAAGGAAACGGAGGGGAAGCTGCGAGCCGCGGAAAGCAAATCCCTTGTAATTAATGAGAGAAAGCGGATTGTCGCTGATTGAAAATTCCTACAGAGGACTTAAGTCCAAATCCTGCTCTGTTGCTTCCGAGGAGAAGCAACGCGGATTCTGCGGAATTTTATTCCTGACGTTCTACCTAGTCTGCCCTTTTCTACTCTTTATATAAAATATTTTTCTTCAACATCGATCCCATACAATTATCTGAGAATCGCTATATGAACACATTTGTAAAGAAGAAAAAAAGACGCCATACATCTTTTAAGTATATTTACGTAATATAGTAATATTTATATAACTCATTTCTATGGGTATGCCGCTTGTGTCGCGTTTGCCAGATCATTAGGAAATCTCCTTTGGGGCACATAACCCGGGACAGGTTTGCATCAGTTTAAATTCGGTTCAATGAATCCACAGAGGAGGTTCACGTAACGTCAAGCTTCTGCCAAGGCTGGGCCAAGCGAGACCTATTTTCTATGACTTCCTAGTTTCAGCGCGATTGGGTTATGCAGGGTGAACACTTTCATTCTTTTCCTCTTTTCCACCCCAAGAAATTCCCAGTCGATGGCACCAAAACGTACGATTGTATGAGAAAAAACTGAACACAATGAAAATATTAAATTCACCGGTCGAATTATTAACATTTCTGTTTAATTCGAGGATACGTTGGAATGATCTCTGGCATCTTTTCATTCGTGATTACAGAATTTAATTCGCTATCAGGTGTTTCGGATATATCACGACTTGGGAAAGAAGGCTGGAAAATTGGCTCTGAGAACGGGCCTTTGAAGTTTGCGAATCCCCTAACCAGGGAACATGGGACTCCATTAGAGAGGAAACAGGTCAACCAGGGATAAACCAAGTCGTGGAAACAGGAAGGCGTACTTGTTGCATCGGTACGAAATGTTCAAGCCTCGTATTTTCGACCGGAAATGTCGCCAAAATCGAAATTCGAGAACCATTCACGTCTCTGAGCGGCGTCCTAAAAAATAATAAAGAAAGAAGTTCGACCAATTGGACCGAGTCGGCGTGGTGACGCTGATATGGAGCGCGCCTTATCGTCACGGGGTGAGGACGCGGCGCGGCGCGTCGCGACGCTTACTTCGGTCTCGGCCGTCGGGGGTGTTGCTCCGGGGTTGTTCGAGCCGAAGCAACTACGCCAGACAGTTCGGCGTCGATTTCGCCAATTCGGTGGACATGGGTCGCTAGTATTCCGAGATAACCCGCGCGTGATAAGCGGACGGAAGACGCCTCCGAAGAACAGGAATTATAGGAAGTGAGATTGCTTTCCAAAGTGTTGACACAATGTTATACGAATGTTGAATATAAAATTAGAAAAAAAAATTGAATGTGATACGATAAATCATTGTCGCAAAAGTCTGCAAAAAATATTTCTCACCCGGTGGGTCACCTGACGACTCGTGATAAAGATGGACTGAGGAAGCGATACCTGATAACGAGTGCGGTGTTTTAACCGGTGGGTGATAGTTAATTCGTAATGGGACAGGGTAGCTTCCAATGTTATCAATAAAAGGCAATGTAAAAATTCCCGACTCATGTATTGGAAATACTTATCAATCGGATGTGGTATTTTAAGATAATTTATAATTGTCGATACACTTGCTTCTTGATTTTACAAGCTGGTTTAAACGAAATGTGGGTTATACAATTTTCGTCTAGATTTTTTACTTAGACCACTTCCGTAACTACAAGCACAATTAAGTGCATCTTTTAATGGACCCTCATTGTTACTTGTTGATGAGGAACGATGTGCAGATCAACGTGCAGACATGGTGGACAAATTGCACGAGTACGAGGGAGTCGCTGGTCGGATTCACGACATTCGCGACAAATTCCGGGAGAAATGGGACTCCTGGAAAGAGTGGACAAACGAAATCCCGAGGGATCGAGGGATTGCTGGGGTCTTGAGCCATCTTCGTGGCCCGCCGAAGTTAGAAAGAACTTTGGATGACTATTCCCACATCTACAGGTAATGCATACAATTTAAATGTACCGTTAACCCTTAATCAGTTCCCATTTGTCATTTTAGAGTAATTCCGTCTAAAATTTATTAACATTTTCAACTGCGTGACGCATTTAATATGAGTTATCTGAACGGCCTATATCGGTTGGGAATTTCTTGCAATTCTTCGAAATTCAATATGGCCGACCTGGCATTACCAGACTCTTAAGAACGAGGGCTCACCTTTTTGGTTTTTTAATATTAATTCGTCCTTACAGGAGGAAATCTCGGAGAGAACTGGTGCGGATCTCCGCAGCAGTGATGGGCATCGAATTTTCATATGCAGCGGAAACCGCATTCGTGTCGCCGACATTGCTGAAAATTGGCGTCGACCACCAACACATGACTTTGGTGTGGGCTTTGAGTCCTCTTGTAGGATTCTTCGTCACTCCCGTTTTAGGCAGCGTGAGCGATCGTTGCAGGTTGAAGCGAGGACGAAGAAGGCCGTTTATCATATTACTGGCCATCGGAGTCCTGATAGGTGAGACTTCGAATTAATTCCCCATGAACCTGAACCAATGGAGAAAATTATTATGAAACACTTTCGTGTCATGTTGTCTCCACACATGGTGTACTAATTTCATAACATAGATTTCCCACGAAATTGTGCAAAACTGCAGCATGATGTTCAGGAATGTACAATAAATGTATACCGATCCACTTTAAAGACAACCGATTTTCAATTTCACTCGAGTCTCGTGCACTAAAAATGTATCGGCGCTCGATTATTAAGTATCGATATTCGATATCGCCTCTGGTGGGATATAATTAACATCTAACGGAGATAGAGAAGGAGGAGTGCGACCGGAACTTAAACGCCAATTTCCTCCTGCAGATCCATCTTGCGCCGATGGGGAGTGCTCTAATTATTTTATTTGCAATTTTCCAGGATTGATTTTGGTGCCCAACGGCGAAAGCCTGGGATACACTTTCGGCGACATCCCGGCATCGTCTAATTACACGGTGCCCCTTGGACACAGGACATCAGGAAAGACAAAGCAAGATTATCCGGAGCCACCCCCTTCCTCCCACTCCTGGGGGATATTTTTCACAATTTTGGGAACGGTTCTCCTGGACTTCGACGCCGACGCCTGCCAAAGTCCTGCCAGGGCGTACCTCTTGGACGTCACAGTTCCTGGTGAGTCGAATTTCCACAATTAGTAAGAAACAAAGGCGTTGAGGAATTGTACGAGCGCATTATTTCCAGACGATCATGCCAGGGGATTGAGTACGTTTACCATCATGGCGGGATTAGGTGGTTTTATGGGATATGCCCTAGGCGGGATTAATTGGGATGCGACAGCTCTGGGACAGATGTTGGGTGGACATATTCACGCAACCTTTACATTGATTACCATTATCTTCATTATTTGTGTCGCGTGCACCATAACAAGCTTCAAGGAGATCCCTCTTGAATTGCTGGAAAAAGACCAGTTTCAAGAATTCCACGAGAAGATGGTTCGTCACCATTTCTCCGGTCGAAACGACTTCCGCATATTTTTTCATACACTTACAAGATATTTATAATAATTCATGCCTTTCTAGTTGGCCGAATGCCGCAAAGAGGAGTACGACAAAATAGCGAACGACGAGTGCACGTCTTATGGTACCTTGGGCAACGACCCCGAAGTAAATGCATCGAAGACGGAGGTAAATTTCAGGATTTCCCGATTTGACAAGGAATCATAAACGTTATTAAAAGGTAATTCGACAAACGAGAAAAGCTCAGGCAGAGGACAGCTTTAAAATCCGCTGCCTCGGTGAGATATTAATTTTTTTTTCCGTTGATCCTGCAGCGAAGACATCTGCAAATGATGATGCCGATCCATCTTGAAGTGCTTCAGATTTTCTGGAGGAAGCAACGTTCTTTTCGTATCCGTGATTAATTCTTCTTCGTGCAGGAGTTCGCGTTGAAGCCTCTACCGGTGGAGGAAAGTGGGATAGAGAAGGACCCTGGCAAAGATGCCGCAAAGGAACCAGCTAAGGAGATCTCGAAGGAGCCCCCGAAGAGACCCGGCGCAGTGCCAATGATTCCTGATGTCCAGCCCTCGACGGAAGGCAGCTACGTCAACTACGGATTCGAAGACACGGCGGATATGAATCCGAAGACCACCTTGGGGGAATATCTCCTTTCCATCGTGTACATGCCACACAGTATGAGGATGCTGTGCCTGACCAACCTCTTCTGCTGGATGGCCCACGTCTGCTACTCTCTCTATTTCACGGATTTCGTGGGAGAAGCCGTGTACGGAGGCGATCCAACGGTAACCCGCAATACTCAACACCCTCTAAACTGGCCGAGTATGATTAGATTAATAAATAATCAGTGCATCTTGCAATCCGTCAATTCCATCTTCAGGCTCCTGAAGGATCACTCCAGAGACAGCTCTACGAGTCTGGAGTGAGATTCGGATGCTGGGGGATGTCCATGTACTCCTTATCTTGCGCCTGTTATTCCCTCGTCATCGAGAAGCTCATACAACGATACAAGTGAGCCCATGTCCCACCAACATGTCCTATAAAAAGTCCTACGAGGAGATTATCCCAGGATGACATATATTAATTCTAATACATGTCGTATAATGTCGAAAAATAAGAGACACGTATTTTTTAATACTCTTTAATTACTTTACTTGTTGATTAATTGTCACATGTTTTTTCCAACAGAGCTCGAAGGGTGTACATCTGCGGCTTGCTCTTCTATAGCACCGGGATGATGATGATGGCCTTGACCAAACACCCTGTCGGGGTCATTTTGTTCTCCTGGACGGCAGGAGTCATGTACTCCACCCTATTTACGATGCCTTATTTACTGATCGCACATTATCACGCATCCTCCACGGTAAGTTTGCAACTATTATGTTAAATCATTGAACTGTTCCATTATTAAGTGATGGACTTTAACTTCTTTAATGGTAAAATCCGCAACCATGTCGAATAATTTAATAATTTGAGGTTTACAATGACTCTCTTAATCATGGTGTGTTTTTTCTTATAGTTTGCTGTCACCGCTGAAGGAGAGGCTGTACCTAGTGGTGGAGTACGGGGTTTAGGTACCGACGTCGCTATTGTGTCCTCCATGGTCTTCTTGGCGCAATTTATTTTATCCTGCATCCTTGGGACCATTGTCAGTGTGTCAGGGACGACTACTGCAGTAGTAATGGTAGCTAGTACTTTGGCTGCTTGCGGCGCAATTGCAGCTACCCAGATCATGTACTTGGATCTTTGAAATGACGATATATGACGGTCATGAAATGGATGAAAATTGTACGTCAAAGAAATTTTTATCACGAGAAAAAGTGACTAATCCAGTTTTCTCAATCGTTTATGCTCCGACTGCATGCATAACAATAGTAAATGTCGTAATGTTTTTAATGAAATGTTATTGAATATCGAAATGTGTACGATAATATATATATATATTGCTAATGTCGTGAAATAGATTATAGGACACGTTGCACTAAACTGGTAAAGATATCGTGCAATACGTATCATGGGAACTTGTCGTGAATATTAATATATTATATTCTAAGGTTCATAATTAAACCTTAGTGAGTGAACCATTGCATAAAATTTATGAGAAAATCAAACGTCGAGACGAGTTATAATATTCTAATATTCTGTTGATCTGGACTTTATTTTCATAAATCAATTACAGGGGATTATTCCACTATTTCAGTATTCTGATAATCCAAGACATTACCAATAATCAATCTGATCGCGTATGCACAAATAAGAGTCTAATTTATTACTATTTCGTTCGTGTAAAACGACTAGCGTTAGAAAGTGTAGCATAAAATTATTATAATTTATTAACACAGAAAAGGAGGGATTCGTATCGTTAAGTCAGATTGTAAATATTCGTATTAAGAACGATTTCATGTACATATTCGAGCATTACGAATAAAGACATTATTGTTGTTATTACCTTGAAATAAAATTCGCAAATGACTAAGTCGATGAATAACATATTTTTAAAGCTGCCATAGTTTCCCTTCGAATGATTTTCGCCAGTTCAGTTAATTTAACCAGATCGATGTACCATTAATATTCTTGACTTTTAGTAATTCGCCGCAGAGCATTCTGAACTTGATGGTAAAAAATGTTCGTTATCACAGAAATGAGAGATCGTGATCCAGATTCTATTATGGCACCTCGTTACTAGTTTCGATCTTATTGCCTTAAAAAATAAATACAACTTTACAGGGACAGTTTTAAATGGACGGACGTAAATACATGGAAAGGATGTTAGACCTCTTCAGGTCCGAAGATTATTAATGGCCTTCTCCAATATTTCCTTTCTAATTCGAGGATAATCCGGACTCTGCTGCAGGACCTCGTTACACGCTTCGATAGCATCCGCATAAGCTTTACTTTTCCAAAAACAATAAGCTAATTTATAGCCGATGGACGGTTTCGCCTTGCCCCCGAATTTCCAAGCCCGAGAATAACGCGCCGCGGCTTCTCGATAGTTCTGATCCCTTTCCGCAATGAATCCTGACAACTCGTGGGCCCTGACGCAGGTTGCATTGTGCTGAAGAATTCGCCTCAACAATTCATTCGCCAGGTCGTATTTACTAGATTGCACGTAAATGTCCGCCAACAGGAGCCAACATCGCTCCAGATATTCAGCATCCTCGAAGGTCCAGACGTTCTTGCTAACCCGTTTCAGATGATTCCTAGCTCGTGGCGTTTGTTTCAAAAGTAAATGAGCCATGGCCAATCCAAGAGCTGGACCGACGTGGTCCCTCAAGGATTCCTGACTAGCCAAAGCCGTGCAATCTTGCAAAGCCCTCTCAATGTTGGATTTCTGCTTCGTGACCAGAAGGAAGAAGTTACCCAGCAGTCTGTGAGTCAACATCTCATGGGGATTACCTTTGGGGTTTAGTTCCTGGAAAAGGACACGTTAATATATTTTAGTAATCTAATCGATAGTAGAAGACGCACTTGCAGTAATCGTTGAGCAGTCTTCAGGGCCATCGTCCTCGAGTCTTGGTACTCTGCATCCTCTTCAAGGAACGCGTCGTTGGAGAGGATGGAATCGTCGTCGGGGTCTAAGCAAATCTCGATCATGTTGTAGATCGCTTGCTGGCCCCACTCTGGATCGCGCCGAGCAGAATTGAAACGTCGAAGAGCGGAATTCAGCTTCCCGGTTCGCCAATCCAACAAACCCGCGCAGTAGAAGAACCCGGCTTCTTGCTTCGAGCTGTCCATCGCAGCTTCTGCTCGGTTTAGAGCCTCTTGCAGGTCGTCCATGTTACCTGGATAAATGCCAAACATCATTTACACCATTTACATGACGCTTCGATATGAATCTTCATGCTCGATAGATCATATGAAGTTGGGTACCAGTTCTTCGCGACACTTCTATCAATCTTGCTAACGCGGTCCAGTACGTAGGTCGTCGAAGAAGGAGTTGGCGGAAATGAAAAGCAGCGGTTTCGAAGTCGACCTTCCTGAATGCCAAATCGGCCATCATCACCGAAGCCGCCTCGTTATTAGGATCCGCATTCAAAAGAGCCGTGCAACTCTGAGTGCACTTATCTAAATCATTGATCTGTCGGAGTACGATTACGATTAGACCAGAGTTAAAAGAACATGCCGAGAGAACCCATTTAAGAAATATGACCTGCATGTACAACTTCGCCAGTGATAGCAAAGCCTTCACGTCCGTAGGCTTATGGTTTAAAGCTTCCTTGTAATAAATTATCGCCTGTTCATAGTCTCTTAACGTTGAAGCGTGAGCCGCCATGCTGAAGCAGATTTGTGCCAGGACTTGTTTCTGACCCGAGGCACTTGGTACCATAACTGATCGCTGAATACTCCTTATTTGATTTTCCTTGGCTTCCTTCAACGTCGTTAGAGCTGCTTGAATATTTCCAGCTCTTTCTCGAACTTTAGCTAACAGCAGCAAATGCTTCCCTCGCGTCTCCAAACTCTGCAGATCGCTCGCAGCACGCCCATCTGTGGATTTAACTACGATTATTATTACGTTAAGAAATGTCTAATTGTTGCTAAAAGATTTTCTTCCACTTAACTTGCAGCTCCTGCACAAGCGTCGCTTCTGCCTTGTCAAATTGTTTCATCTTCATGAACAATTCGGCCATGTCCAACTTCAAGTCTCCGCAGTTCTCCTGCTTTACCACTTCTTTATAGTACGCAATGGCTTTTGCATACTGGTGGGTCTTCACCAATGCTTTTCCCATTTTCCTTGCCAATGTTTTGTCATTTGGATTCTTTCTTAATGATTGTTCGTAAGCTTCGATGGCTCTGTCGGGCTCTTGTATGGCGATGTAAGCATCGCCCAACATGCTGTATGTTTTTGGGCCCGGACAATGTTCCACCAATTCTCTGCAAGATTAAATTTCCTATATAATTACTTACTATAGACGTTTAATAAAAATCCATTGATGATTAAACATCAACCTGAAGCATTTTGCAAATGCATGGCGATCCTTTCTCTGGTTCAGATGAAGCTCCGCAAGCTTCGTGTGGGCTTGAAGGTAATACGGTTCGGCAGGTGAAATGTTCTCCAGGAGATGTAGAGCTTTGTCGAGGTCTCCCATTTCTGAACACAATTCTGCATTTCCTATCGTCAACCTACCTTCTTCTACGGTGCCTGCCAGATGCGCTTTTGCGTCTTCCACTATTGCCGAAGCTTCTTTGAACTTTTTCAGTTTACTATAAGCAGATATTAATTCTAAATACAATGTCGCCTTGTCTGAGGCCGATATTCTTGTTATAGGGACTGTCGTGTCTCCTAATTTTAGCCCCGCAAAGGACATCGCTGTTTCAAAGGTACGAATGCAACCGTTTATGTCACCGTTCTCTTTTTCCACCATACCTACGATCATGTGATAAATCGGATTGTCTCTCACTTTAAAGTTGTAACTTAATCCTACTTCTAAACTCTGCGAGGCCTGTTGGTATCGACCCTGTCTTGCCAAAATCTGAGCCATCAACAAATGTGCGGAGGCATTGGCAGGATCCACCGAGTCTAATAATTTCCTCAATGCAGTCAAGGCACTCTCAAAATCTCCCTGCAGCATTCTTACTTTTCCCAGCATTAACAGTGCTTCGCTTAGACCAGGACATGCATCGGTAACTTTTTCTAAAATAAGTAAACATAATTTCTTCTCGGATTCACTCGACACTATTTCCTCCCCATCCGACAGAGTACTGTTGGGCAAATGTGCCAAGTATTCCTTCACTATTTCCAAACAAAAGTCTGGATTTAATGCGTTCACATATTCGTATCCATATTGAATATCTTTACAGGCATCTAGTAAAATTGAAGTCGACGAGTCAAGATAAGTTACTGCTTGAGTTGGATCGTTGTTGCACAATTTGGCAGACATTAACAAAATTTGCGGACTCAAGGCGTTGGATTGTATTTCCACGAGGAAATCTATCTGCTGACGTGCTAAGTCGATGGCTCCAGGAGACGTGTCCATGAGCTGACAGTGTGCTAATCCCATTAACGCTGCGATTGAAGATTCATCTATTCGAACAGTACTTCGATACCAGTGTTCGGCATCTTTGATCTTCCCCAGGAATACGTACTGATTCCCGAGTTCCACCATTAAGTCACTGTTTTGAGGAACTTGCTGCAGAGATTTCTCAACTATTCTCGAGAGCTCTCCTAAGATCCCCATGTCTCTACCACTTATTCGAGAGAATAGTTGAACATTACCGATCAGTACATCCGCGTTTCTTGGTTCGGAGAGGATAAGATTCCTGAGAAATAATTGCACTTGCTTCAGACCTTCCCCGTAGTCTCCATCTTTACAAACACTGATGAATGCCTTTGCTTTCAGTGCGTCGAGGTTGTTAGAATCGATCAGTAAGATTCGATTAGTGGTTTCGAGAACTTGTTCAAAATCTTTCATGGCTAGTAGGTTTATCATCTTTTCCGTCAACGGTAGACACAGATTTGGGTAGTGTACAATTATGGAGTTCAAAATCGATATAGCTCCTGGATGATCGCCTATGTGTTCCTTGTACTTGGCACAACCAAGCAGGGCATTTAAATGCTTCTTGTTCTCTTTCAATATCGATTCGAAGCAATTAATTGCGACCTTTCCAACATTTGTTGCTTTAGAAAGGTACAGCTCGATCCAGCCTCTGATTAATAAAACGTCATGACTCGAAGGATTTAATTTGAAGACTCTGTCGATATAATCTTTGGCCTTTTCCACTCTCTTCAGGAGAAATAGCACTGTAGCGGCAAGTGATAAAGCCAAGGCTGATGCTTTTCTTCTATCTTCTCTTATTCTCGTGTCAATTTGTGCTAAAGTTGATCGATCTATACTGGGAGATAATCTGTGGATGTAACTTTGTATCAATAAAGCAGCTAAAGTCGTTTCTCCATGATTGCTCAATAATGACGTTTCTTTCAGCGATTCACGACTCTGGCCTACGAGTGCATATGCTACTGCGAGTAGTAACTTTAAATGGTCACTTGTAGGATGTGCATCGCATGCTTGCTTTGCATGGAATAACATTCCATTGTAGAAATACTGTTTGCAGTGCCATTCTATCACAGCTTTGTACTCCGTCTCATCCATTCTTCCCTTTTTTTTTTTCTAATATATTACTTGAACTAAATTAATGCCTTTAGAATATTAGACATTTTTAAATTGGAACAATGTTGAGTCTCTCGTCTTTTTACTTCTTGTTTGAGGGAGTTACCATAAAATCTTGAGGATCGGGCAGTTCATCGACTGTTTCTTGATTTAAAGACTCCGATGTAGGGCCTTCTAAAATATGTGATGGTCCGATAATAAGTTCTTCAAGCTCGACCGTCTTCGTTGCCAGGTAATACTTCTGCAAGTACTCGCAGGTCAAATACATGTAGTAGTTATTGACGATGGCATATGTGAATGCTGCCTAAATGAGAATATGATACTTAGGTACTTTTAATAACTACTATACGTAATGTAGCAGAAATATAAATTACCTCTGCTAACCTCCTTGCTACACCTTCTCCGGTATGTTGGGATGGAACGTTAATAGTATACATATCCAGAATCCTGCCATCCCGCTTATAGGCTAATACTGCTCTCGCTGTCAGAGAAATGAACACATATTTTACATAACAATATACACGTCCTTCCATCCTCATCAATGTTTAAATTTAATTTATACAAGTACAGGAAATTTTAATTATAGCATATGGGACATCGTACCGTTATCCTGAAACTTTATATAGAAAATATTCCGCCCTTCGTTATGATGAACACCATATAAAAACCTCACACGAACGACAGTTAAATTGACTCGAGGGAATATTAATGAGCGTAAGTTAAACATTTAAGCAACATTGACAAGGGTGCTTTTTAAAAACGAAGTCTGTTGCCGGTGCAACGATAAACGACATTTACGTAATTGACAGGAAATATTCGAATACGGAACTTTGACTGTTATGTCATAACGGGGCAGAAACTCACGATTTTTAGACTAATTTACGGGAACGAAAACATAGGTTAGTTTGACGTTTATACCTTGTTGTCAAAACTGTTGCTAAGCAACCGTTGACGGGACAGACGCTCCCGATGCGACTGTGCTGCCTTTTCCGGCGTTTTTAGGAAACTACAACTCATATTCGATTTACCAACAATAACTGGTCTTACCGACATTTATTCAACTTACCGACTTCCATGACCCACGCAGCAAAACAATAAAAAATTCTATTTTTACCAGACACCGAAAAGGCTTCCGAAGTTTAAGGTAAAGGTCGCTGAATCCAGAGAAAGATATTCAAAAGAAGTCGGAAAGTGCACGATTCAAGGAACGTGAGAGGAATGGCGATCGGCAAGGAATCAAAAATAACTCGGACTCTTTATTTCCCTACAGGAGTATGATGCCGCACATTTCCGTCGTAAAAACAAACACGTTGTCCACGTGCTCCAGATACCCGGTGATGTCAGATAACAGAACCTGTTTTTTTCATTCGATAAAACACGGCACAACGGGGCCCTACACGACGAAGAGGAATTTGATTCACGATTCGATGCTCTCGAAATAATAATTCATGACGCAACGCGCCAGTGGAAAATAAGGAGGTCATGTTTCCACGGTATAAATATCCACTTCCTGGCGGTACATTTTAGAGATCGTTCATCTCAGATTCTGCCGGCAAACCGGCGAGATAAGTGGCTGTGATTGTCTCCAGTTTTCCAAAAATACCCTTTTCTCCTTTTCAGAATTCTTCCTTTCACCCGGCATGATGTCACGGCGTCTTTTTTGTATTTTTCAACGAATGGAAATATTAAGTATGAGTGACAGTCGAGGACAAAGGATAGAGCAACGGGGAAAACCTTTCACTGTAAAAGTATGCCAGCTAGCAGTTTCACACATCTTTCCATGACTGTTAAAAATATCCCTTCGAAATATCCTATATCTTGCCAGGACGGTTAAAAATATCCCTTCGAAATATTGGTGAGTTCTCAAAATATCGTAATAATTTTACTTAAAGTGTGGGTGGATGTAAGCGGCTATCCTATACATGTCATGACTACATGTCAAAGGGGGAACCCACGTGGAGGTGATTTGGAGTGTTTATCACCTCGCTCTTACGCGTTTATTGGTAATGGGACGTTCGAAATTCATCAGACTCTACGTCAGACCGAGACAAACTGTTCTTCGTGGAAACTCGAGAAAAAGTCAAATGTATGCAGAAACGTCAGTCGAGAGCGTCGCGGTGTCTGGTGTGACACCAGACTCTCGACGCGCCGGTAATGGCGACGTCTGATCATGACGCTAAGTAGATATGCGTACGTGCATACATTGAAATATAATATGCTCGTGCGTACATACACGGGTCAATTGTCACTCAGTTTCCTTGTCATGGCAGCACGTGTGCTTATCTCGGCAATCCAGGGACAAGGAATTGAAACCGACGAGAGAGCCGTTATCATCGCGAAGACGGGAAGAAGATTATTAAAAGGAAAATATTGTAATTTCGCTACACTTTAATCGTTGTTAATTCATTGAAAACCTGGTGCACTAATTTGGTAACATATTTTCAGCATAAAAATATCTTCGGAAGGATTGTCAAGGGAATTACAGGAAAAGGAAAAAAAACACGTTTATGACTGGTTGGCGAAAAGGTCTCACGTGAGACCTTGTCATCGTTTTTCACGCCACATATAGAGGTTTTAGTAATTTGAAAAATTCTCCGCCGCAATGCGATGATATATTAGTATTTAAAAATGATCATCGGGTTATGAAATTTCATGAATTCGTTTGTCGGTAGGTTTGGCGTTGCCGTTTCCGGATTCGGATCGAAGATGATTCCAGAGACAATTTATATCGTCGAGGGCCAGCTCGAGGGACTTGGAATAACCAGTATATCCCGTAAAGTCAATGTACCGATCGATCATACTTGACATCGAGTCTGTGGACTTTGCAGACGTGGAAGAGTACTGGGTGCCCGACACTGACGTAAGTTCCTTTCCTACGACCCTCGCCCCCCAGGGAATAGTTCAGATCTTTTTATATCCACTAGCCGATTCCCGGATTATTCCCAGGCCCGATAACGAACTCCCGACCGGAAGCTCGAACAATTACAATACCCAATTGCCGAGAATATTTCAATTCGAAAGTCCCTTTCCTCGCACGAGGAATGGGACCGAGCATTTCTCCTCCACGATCTCTTAATGACGTCAATTTCAAGACGCCAATCATTGGTATCAGAGACTTCACAAATTTGCCGGGTTCTCTCCGACCTCCTTTCATCTGAAAATATTTATATAAACTTGGAGGATAATTTAGAATTTTTCTTATCGTGTCTGCACTGATTTCCGCCCTCCAGGAGTCTTATCATTGATATTCCTCACTTACTGGTGCAGGAACCGATTGGGAAATAACGGTCCTACAATCTGGATTTGCGAATCATAATTATCACATTACGATTTTCTTAAAGCTTCGTTTATCACTATCAAATGAGGGACATGAGAAATTTCGAGAAGAGGCATTTAAAAAAGACGAGGATACAAGAAATTTTCCACGTCGCGTTCGGTAACTGGAATTCGCATTTCAGAGTTCCAAAGCAGCCGAGATGCTTCTTGACCTCTCTAAAAACCAATAAGGCCAAGGAACATTAAGTTTCCCTGAATCGGAAAAAAAGGAAAACGTGCTGAATTACGCACGAGATGCGAGCAATGAGCTTCTTTTTTTCTTTGTCGCGAATGTCGCCTGGGGTTATAGTGCAATAATCCGCGTTAATCGTTTCTCTTGTGCGTCACCGAATTATCCCGATAACGATATAGTCGAATTTTGTGTCCGTCTAGAGACGTCATGGCGGAAGTCTTTATGTAATACAGGAATTTAATTATGCCGAGCAAGGGAAGTCTAATTATGCCGGGTTAATGCGTGTGAGAACCGGTTGACACGAGATCGACTGCACGTGATCAGGTACAAATCGATTCCAATTTTTATTCACCCCATTGCGACTAAAATAGTACGTCCATTGTTAACGGTTATAAAAAATGGATAAGTGCAGCTGTGATGCTCTCGGTGTAATACAACAGTTTTTAATCTTTCTAATCTAAATGCTAGGTTTCTTCATCTTTTTTTTCATAGATTCCGTATTTATCGTTTGATCGTCGTCTAGCCCCCGAGAAGAGAAGAAATCGAAGAGCACCTTGACCTCGAGTGTCATCTGCCAAGGGGTCAATGACATCCAACTCGGACCATTCGAGGTCCCTTCTTCTGGCCGCCATTTTTTTCTTCTCCTTTTCTTTCGTCCCACTTTTTTGCCGTTTCCTCTCGGGGCTTTTGCATCTCTTTCCTCGTTTCTTCTCACCCTGGCCGATGCTGGACTTTCAAGGACACGTTTGCCGGGGTTTACGGGGATTCCTAGGCAGAAATGCGTAGGCATATGTAGAGTCTGTACTGGTGTAATGCATGTATTTCATGTATTGGTGAGGACTGCAAGCATGCATCCAAGTTCCCGGGGGAGAAACAGGATCTCTTCTTTCTTTTCTGGTCCGATCTCGTTCTGGAAGGAACGGACTAACCCGATGGAAAGAGATGGATGAGTGGTAAATTCCTTCCTTTTTGCTAAAGAAATGACGTCAAGCACTAATTTATGCACCGGGATGCGAAGACCATGTTGCCTCAAACTGTTGTTTACAAAAATGCGCCGTGAATTCGCAAAAAAAGGTTTTAAACAGCTGAGACTCATCGGAAAAGGAGACGCTTGAAATAAATCTTTGGAATTTTCGCTCGAAGAAAATCCTGGCCGCCATGCGAGTTGGACGTGAGACTTTTAATTCCAGAAAAAGAGAGGAAATGTCCAAATTGAGTAAAATTCCTAGATTCGGTTATTTAACCGATTTCTACCAGAGAAACATTTATTAGCGGTAGACACAAGTTACCGCATAATTATCATGAAATTCTGCAAGTTCATAAGCACTCATTGCGCGTGACATAACGTCCATAACGAATGTCGATTATTCGTAACATTTCCCGCTCAAGGACTGAGCGATGCCACAGGTATTTATTTTTTGAGGCCGCGTGAAAAAGAGTTATCGAGACCTGCATCGAGATGTTTACTCCGTGAATATCGATTAAGTGCAACTTTTAATGTTTTATGTTATTGCGGATTAGATAACCAAGGAAAACGGACGTAAGGATCTTGGAATAAGAGGAAATGTCCTTGCGTGGACGCCTATAAAACTCCCTTTGCAATTGACCGACGCGAAATATTTCATTTCAGCTAAAATGTTTCATAATTAAATCCAAGCGCAAGTAGAAAACCAGCAAGTTAGGATTTAATATGGAGAACGCCATAGATGTACGATATACGGATTTATTATTTTCTATTTAGGAATAGAAAGGCGTAATTTAATTCGTGTTAGCGTAGAAAATTGGGGACTTATTATACGTTGTGATGTACACGTAGGACACCATGTATATTTCATGGGGTATTATATCTATATTTTATTATATCTACCCAGCCCTACCTCGGAGCTGGGGAATCCCTAAAGACTTCAACCACGAGACTAAAGAAGACGCGTTTGAAACCGGTTAGGAATCTCGGAAAGCCCATTGGCGCATTTTACTCTCAACTGGCGTCGTTTCTCCCGTAGCAACCAGATATTCCTGTTCCCGAAGGCAAGGATGCAATTCCCCGGGTCGAAGTTACGGGAAAACCTTGGTGTGGGATATTTGCAAATCGAATCGAAAATCCAACAGCCATGGCGCAAGCGATGGACCCGCTATTTGCATTTGGGATCCGAGGACCAGGAAGTTTTCCAAAGGAATTTAAATGTCCCGTTCCACTAAGTACCATATATAAATAGTGCTGATTTAAAAAATGTGAGACCAGGTAATCTCTCATTTTCAGGATATTTCTCAAACGGGATAGCTTCTGGGAAAGATTCGTTATTCATGAGGACCTTGGTGAGAGGTTTATCTCGTGGATTACCACGGTCTGATAAATGGGTCGGTTCACGTATTGCAAGATACAATTATACCCATCATGACGCCGCCACTTTTCAGACGCGCACTTCCTGGCGAAACTCGAAAATCTCTTATGAATGACGAAACGAATTCCTCCACTGATGCCCATTAAACCAATGAAGACTTCACGAGGCTTAATCGGTACACAATGCATCGTTTATCTTTGCTCCATCGCGCGATCCTGGTCGGCCATGTTGGATTTCGTTGGAATCGGAAGACCCTTGGTTGATAACGAAATACGGAACGTTCACAGGAAAACATCGATTAGGAAAATG